GGGCCAACCTATAGGCTTGTCCTTGACCAAAGATGACAAAGATGAAACACAAAGAGATACAAAATAGTTTAAAATGTGGGGGTCGGGGGCTTTTGTTTCCCTTCAACAAAGGACCCCAGATGACTTGCACACTTTGGCTTTATTCACTCAGACACAGGCACAGGCGGAGTAAAAACAGGATTCATCTCTCCCACCATCCATGGCACGTATCCATTAATTTTCCCTGCAGTGTGTCAGCACACACTCACACTGCCTTTCTTGGTAGTGCTCATAGAAAAGGCCAGTTAGGCCTTAAGCTTCTGTCTGATCTCCTACAGTAAACTATAATGTTTTTGTGTGTATTTTTGTATTCTGTAACAAAGTAAGTTCTAAGTTTACTCATTGTTCTTTATATATACATGTAATTAGGATAATACGATTTTCCTTCCATATTGTATACATTTCACCTGTTATAGATGAACAAATTACTCATTATGGTTGGATGCTTATAGTGTTTCCTGTTTGTGTTAAAATACTGTTGTGATCATTTTTATTCAACAGCTTTTTTCCTCTTTCATATATTTGTACCAGTTGCCAAGAGGAATCTTAGGATCATATGAGTTGTTTTCTAGCTCTTGAAATGTTATCCTACATTTTTGTCCAAAAGAATTGTGCTTTTTAATGCAGTTAAGTGCTAATTTACTGAGAAATTTCACCCATAAGACCTTTTCTAGGAACAGTGTAAAAAAGACAGGCTCTGCTGTCTCAAGGTGGAGTGTAGTAAAGAGGCACACAGAGGTAAATGACCTGAGTGAGAGGATGCGCCACTCTGAGTCTGAAGGAAGGACTGGGAGATAGCACAGTGGCAGGATAAAAAACACTTCATGACATTGAGATTCCATCTCACACCAGAAAGAATGGCTGCCATCAAGAAATCAACTGATAAAAAACGTTGGTGGGGCTGTGGGGAAAAAGGAATGCTTTTCCACTGTTGAGGAGAATGTAGACTGGTGTGGCCACTGTGGAAATCAGTGTGGAGATTCCTCAGAAAACTAGGATTGGAGCTGGGGATTTAGCTCAGTGGCATAAGAACCTGCCTGGCAAGCATGAGGTTGTGAGTTCAGTCCCTGGTACCAAAAAAAAAAAAAAAAAATAGGATTGGAAATCTCATTCAATCCAGCTATTCCCTTTCTGGTTTTTTTCCCAGAAAAAAATGAAAATGTCATGCCACAGCAATATATGCATACCCATATTTATAGGAGCACAATTTGTAATAGCTAAATTTTGGAAACAGCTCAAATACCCAATTAACTGCAGAATGAATAGAAAAGATGTATTTTTATACAATGGAATATTATTCAGCTATAAAGAAGGATAATCTTGAGGCCTTTATAGGTAAATGGAGTCAACTTGAGACTATACTCATAAGTAAAATAAATAAAATTCACATTTATAAATATCATATTGTCTCCCTGTGTAAAAATAATAATAAACTGGAAGAGTAATAATATCCAAAATGTACAATAGATATATTGTAATAATGAAAGGGAAAGAAAGTACTCAAAAGGAAAGAACAACTAGGATGGGGGAAAGGAGAAAAGAAAGGAAAAGATTGTATGTATGTTGGTAAACATATAAAGATATGTATGTATTCGTATGCAAGATAAATTACTGTCAATCTCTGTTCATCAAAAAGAACAGTTTGTGCTGTTATTGTTTGACTGTTTGATGTTTTTATGCCTAGCTTGTAACCTAAACAACTACTTCTAAGATAAAAATATGCAATATATTAACTAGTGTTGATTTCTTACTATTTTTTTTTAAATTCTGTATTATTTCTATCCTTTTTTTTCTGTTTTGCTTTTTAAAATAAAAAAACTTAATGGAGAAGATAAAGTATAAAAATATGATTTTAGTTTGAAATAATTATTGATGCTTTATTTTTTCTCACATATTCTATCATTTATAAAATGTATTTTTCTTTTGTACCTAAATGACTTATCTCCAGATTGTATGATGCAATAGAAGGAGCACAGATCTGGACAAACTGCTTAATTGTCCAAGCTTCAGTTGCTTCATGCATAAAAACGAACACTTTTTGTTTTGTTTTGTTTTTAGTTTCTTTGAGAGTCTGGGTCTCACTGTGTTGCCCCATGCTGGCCTCAAACTCCTGGGCTTTTTTCTTTTTTGTTTTGTTTTGTTTTTTGGTACCAGGGATCGAACTCATAACCTCATGCTTGCTGGGCAGGTGCTTATGCCGCTGAGCTAAATCGCTGGCCCTTTTTTTGTCTTTTTGAGACAGGGTCTCGCTATGCAGTTCGGGGCCTTGAGTGCAGGCTGCTCTCCAACAGTCCTCCCACCTCAGTCTGCAAAACGCTAGTATTGCAGGAGTGCGCCAACATGCCCAACTCAAACTCCTGGGTTTAACCAATCCTCAGCCTTCCAAACAGCTGGGGCTTATGAGTGTGGTGTGATGCTCCACTATAGCCAACTAACATGTAAATGATTACTTCCTTCAGAGAATTCTGAGGATTATGGAGAGTGTGTTTTATTATGTTCTCCAGCCTTATTTCAAAGAAGATTTGAAATGGAAGAGCTAATATATTAATAAGACACATACTTAGCACAACAACTGGCATACAAATTACTTCCTAAGTAGGAGTCACCATTAGCTTTATGATGGCCAATATGCAGAGCTCTGCTTCAGAGAAAGCATCTGCCTTCCTATAAATACAGACATACCTTGGTATTCACTTGCTTTCAAACTCATCAGATTTGGTACTGTATGCATTTTGACTGGAAAATTTTATACCAGTACTAATCATTTATTTGTTACTCAGCATGCAAGATAGACTTGGTGCCAGTTGCCTCACAACTTGCTACCCTTTCCAGACAAAACAGTTGGGTATTTGTCATTTTTCGTACTCCTTGCATCTCCCAAGACCAGTTAATGACATATACTGAGTACCACTGTACTGCTAAATTTTCTAGAAGCTGTACCCACATCCTTCTAATATAGTCAGAATCCACTTCCTCAGTCTCCAGTGTAAGGCCAGCTCTTTAGTTTATAGTAGCTAATAAGCTAATTTTTCTTCCTTGCTTCTCCTTTTGTCAGCTCCTGCTAGTTGCCAGGTACCCAATTAGATGTGGAGAATAGGAAGATAACTAAGATAATGACCTTGCCTTTAAGTCTTGTTGGCTGCACAGTGACATAGAGTTGTTTGCAGGTAACAGTACACAGGTGAGAGTATTTAGTGATTCTTACCTCTGGTTACTCATTAGCATTTTCATGGGAACTGTTTAAACACACCAGCACCCATGCCCTGCTTCAGATAATTTGGACCTTAATGCAAGCATGATCAGTATTCTTTAAGCATCTGAGTTTTTAAAGAAGAATGAGTCATTTTGAATGGAAAGGAATTAGAAAAAGCTTCACAATGAGAGCAACTTTGAAACCAGTGACAGGAGTTCATCTATATTGTAGAGAAGGTAGTCAGGGAACAGGTGCCTCAAAACTGAAGGTGGATTCACAGGTCTTTGTTTTTTTTATATTGGGAATCGAACTCAGGACCTCATGTTTGCCAGGCAGGCACTGTGCCACTGAACTAAATCCTCAAGATTTGAAAGTCTTGTATGGCTACTTTGAAAGAAATACAGATCGAGTTACAAGGCTTGACTGAGAGATATAAAACAGCTAAGAAGTTTTACCTCTGTTAAGGAGTTTGAACTTTATTACATAAAAACGGAGGTAGACTTTATGTGAAAATGATATGATACAGTCTCTTTTAGAAAAATACCAAGTCCTAAATTTGTAGCATCTTCAAAATTAAATTCTAGATGGATTTAAACTAACGGAAAAAAGAGGGTAATATTTCTATATTCTTAAAATGGGGAAGACCTTTATAAACATGGCATAAACTACAAAGACATAAAGGAAAATATTGAGATTGACAGATTTTATGAAGAAAAGCTAGGAGAAAGTATTTGTTACCTTCATAACATAGAAATAGTATAACTAGTATGTGATGAGCTCATACAAAACCTGAACATTCTAAAGAGAGGAACAGGCAAAAGATACGAGACTTTTTAAAAAGATGCTCAGTAATAATCAGATAATCATAAAGTCAAATAAGAGTAGGCCATTTAAACCTTTTATATTGATACAGAGAAAAAATTAATAATATATAATGTTGGGAAAATAGACTGGTAACGTTCTTGATGAGAGATAAAATTGGTAAAACCTTTCTAAAGAGAAGATTAGTAGAAATCATGTTTATAATATGTTTACCCTTGGGTCCTACAAGTAAGAATTATGCTTGGAGGAACAGTGTTGTAGCAGGATTTGTGATGTCAAAGATAGGGAACAATGTAAATGTTACATCTATTGGATGTGCGTTAAATCTTTTGGTAAGAAAATATACCAAACTGAAGATACTGCTGGGGAAGTAGAACTGGGAGAGAGGAACACTTCTAACACTTGATATATTTGGGATTTTTTTTGATCACTGGATAACAATGTTGTATATTTTTAAAAGTGTAAAGAAAGACTAGAAATCCTGTGCTGGATGAATTATGAGGACGAAGTTGGAGACAGGAAAATCAGTAAAAGAATTTTTGTCTTGTTTAGGTGTGAGAAATGTCTGAATTGAAACTGGCAATTAGAATGAAAATGAGTAAATTTGAGACACATTTCAGTAGTAGACTCTTAGAAAGTTTTACTATGTGAATGTGAAAAGGAAAACCTATAAAGTGATTCTGAAGTTTGTAAATTGTAATGACATAAAAGTAAATGATTGTGACACAAAAAATAGGAAAAGAAGCATCTTAGAAATGAGTACGTTAACATAGATCCTTAGTATTTAAAGAATAAACTGATTTTGTCCAGTTAGCTATCTTCAACATGTATGATTTATGCTTATTAAGGCTAGTCTTCTGTAGGCATTATTTTACTGCTATTAGGAAATTTTAATAGTTTAAAATATATAAATAGTAATTTCTCTTTTGTTCTTTTGTATTTCCAGAGTGCACATTTGGCCATGATAGATACCCTGATGATGGCTTACACTGTAGAAATGGTCAGTGTAGAAAAAGTAATTGCATGTGCTCAACAGTATTCAGCTTTTTTTCAAGCTACAGATCTGCCCTATGATATTGAGGATGCTGTAATGTATTGGATAAATAAGGTAAGATCATACTTACATACTTACTTACTTGAGTAAAAATAAATCTAATAACCAAAAATCCTAAATTATCTATTACCATTCCATTACTCTTTGTTTTAAATCAAAATGAAGGCTGAAGTGTAATTTAAATTTTTTTATTTAAAAACAACTTTAAAATGATGAAAATGCATTTTACATACTCAACCATATTTATAATTGTTCCCAGAAATGATCAGTCTAGTTTATATCACTTTTGTCCAGATTTAGAGCACTCAAAATCAAACTGAATATTCAATGCGTATATTTTTTGTGTGTGGTACTGGGGATTGAATTCAGGGCCTTGTACCTACATCCCCAGCCCATAAGTATTTTTAAATCTAAGAGTAAAATAATTTTCACACACTTCTAATTAAGGGAGTCTGCACTTTACTTGACCAAGTTGCACAAAAGCATATTGATTTTTTTTCCAACATTTTTATGGAACTGTGGATTTTACTTTGAAGATGCTAAAGTTATCCACTTCTTTGTCAGTTTGAGTATTATATTTATCTTGAACCACTTTTATTTACAACTATTACCCAGAGAAAATTTGTGGGCAAGATTTAGGGAAGGCTAGATATCTCTTCAGTTATCCTTAACTGAATACTTACTTGAAGCTTGTCATAAGAAGCCAAACGTAAAAAACCACTCATATCTATAATCATGCTCCCTAAAATCAGTACTAATGTAAAAGGACCAATAATTACTCTGTCCCAGAATTTATTTCTTCAGAGTTAGTGATTTTTTTTTCCTTTCCTTCTCAGCTGCTCACATCATAAACCTACTCATCATCCGGAACTATGTGACCTTCACATCTCATTGCAAACTTCCCATTCTTGAAGTTTGTCCTACCCTAGCAACTCACTTGATTTAAGTTCCCCACTATTAAAAATGTTTATCTTTTGAGTATGTGGTTAGCATGCATGAGGCCCTAGGTTAATCAACAGAACAAGAAAGGTTCAACTTCGTTGTAACTTCCAATTCATTGTCTGTTAATTTCTTACATTCTCAATAAACTTCACATTTCACTTTTTTGAATTTAGACTTATAAATCCTCTCAGATATTCTGTCTCTTCGTCCCTTCTTGTTAACGCATCTGCTAATGGCTCAGATAGTTGAGCTTATCTCTATCTGCAACTATAGAGATGTTGTGCTGGAAGAATTCACACAAGGAAGCTGGCTTCACCTTGACTTCATAAACACAAATTTCAAATGAATACCAGCCACTCAGCTGGCCGTCTAAAGTTTAATCCTGAGAAGTTGGCTCTAATAGTTCAACATGACTTACTCTATTTTTTATCTAATCCTCAGATGATCTATTACTCTTTTCCCTATTACTATCAACTTAACTTGCTTGTCTCATCCATTTTTTTGAGACCAGAGATAGGAAGCCATTAGGTAGGAATTATCATATATGTAACCAGTTATGCATTAATCTTCGTTGTCTCTCACTTTTTCTTCTGCTGTTAGAACAGAGAAAGATTTCCCGTTCCTGTCAAAGGCAAGTCCTCTACTACTCATTGCTTTAGGGCTCCTCTTTCTGTTTTTCATGGTCATTGTTTCTCTGCTTCAGTTCTTTTTGAAGTTTAATGTGAAGTTTAATATTTATAAGAATCACCTTTCATATGTGGTGACAGATGCCTGTAATCCCAGCACCCTGGAGGCTAAAGCAGGAAGATTGTTGCAAGTTAAAGACCAGCTTGGGCTACAAAGTGAGCTCAAAGCCAATCCAAACTGCATAGTGAAACCCTGTCTCAAAAAGACAATAAATAAATATATTAATTAATTAATTAATTATTTTAAAAATTCAGGATCTGATCCAGTAAGACTGGGGTGAAACAGGAGAGTATGCATTTCTAGCAAAAGCCAGGCAATGCTAATGTTTCTTTTCTGTGGATTACTTGTATTCCTGCACTCTCCTAGTTCATCTTACTCTACATTGAATCATCCTTGTAAGACTATAAACTTATTCTAGTGTTTCCCATTCTATAAATAAAACTTTCCTGTCCAGATATATCCCCATGTCTTGGAGCAACATAATTTCTCAAAAGAGCTATATAGACATTAATTAGCCTTCTGTGCTTTCTCTCCCTTCCTTATTCCTACCCTAACATTGTTCCTAAGTTGGTCAGTTAAGGCTTCCGTACTGACAAATCTAATAGGTATCTTTCTGTTCGTAACTTGAATTCAGTCTGTACTGCTCCTAGTACTGTACTTTTTTTTCTCTTCTGCAGGAGCTAACCTGTCTCCCCCCCCACCGCCCAGTTTCAATCATGTCAAGCCTATAGACTGTTTAAGTAATAAGTCAGCAGATACCCATGTACGATTCATGTAGCATCCCCAGTTGTTAACATTTTGTTTTTACTGTCTCCATTTTAATTATTTCATTTTTCATATGTGCATATAATGTATTTTGACCTTATACTCCTTCTCCATCCTCCTTATTCCATTCCTTATCTAATCTCACTTCTACTTTCATGTCATCTCTCTGTTTTTGTTTTTGTTTTGCTCTACTATTCCCATATTAGGGGAAATATGATGTGTGTCTTTCTGAGTCTGACTTGTTCTACTTGACAGGATGATTTCCAGTTTTTTCCATTTTCCTGCAAATGACATAATTTCATTCTCTTTTATGGCTATGTACATACCACACTTTCTTTCTCCATTCATCTGTTGATGCCATTTAGGCTGGTTCCATACTTGCCAGTTGTGTATTGTGCTTCCATAAACATGGGTCTGCACAGGCAGCCCTTCTGAATTTTCAGTGAAAAGTCTGAAGTGTTTACAAGCCTTTTCCTCTTGGCAAAATTGAACACCAAAGTATTTCTCCAGCAGTGACAGATTCTCCAGCATCCCAGCAGTTTTCTCCTTCAGCTCCTTGGAATCCTTCTTACACGTAAATTCATAGTTTAGGGCTCAAACTTTGAGGTTAGTTTATATGCCAATTTTGGGTCCCCCATTTGTGATTCTGTGTTCTCATGGTCTTCTTCCTCAGTATCCAACAGTGTGAGATTTCTTGTTTGATTCCTCAAGCCATCAAGACTACGATAGTTTTCTACTTGAGTTCTTAACCACTCTGCACTGTATGAATTGTGGGGAAGGCTATATAAGCATTTCATTTATATTCCTTTGTTTCTAAAATTGAATCCTTTCCTGCTTTTTCATGCTTTTTGCTGCTTGCCCGTACCTTGAAGTACTTGCTTTTTATATACATATATGTGTATTTATATAAAATATGTATGTTTGGTGGTAGAGATCAAACCCAGGGCATTGTGCATGCTATAGTAAGCACATGCTCAAGTACTAAGCTACCTTCAGACTGCTTTTTGTATTTTTTCCTCAGAGTTTATAATTGTAATCTTTGGGAGACTTTGTATAATATATGCTAATCTATTTTTACCGGATTTGGAACCTTCGGGTTTTTTTCAGTTTTTTAATTTTGTTTTATTTTTTACAATGTAGCTTGGACCATGTCACTTCTTTGTTTAAAACCCTGCAGCGGCTTCATTTTGCACTTAAAATAAAAAGTAAAATTCACCATAATTTACAAAGTACTATCTAATCTGACCCCTGTGTACTACTTCATCTCAGGCTCACAGCCACTATTCTTTCTCATTTCTCTCACTTCATTCCAGCTGTATGGCCTTTCTCGCCTCTGGACCATTGAACGTGATGTTTCCTGTTCGTGGGCAGCTCATCTCCCAGCTTTCTGCATGGCTTGGTGCTTCTGCTCCATACTTCTCAGCTTGGATAGTACTTTTTCCTCACACCCTCTCTAAAGTAGGCATCTGTCAACCCTTATTTTCTGCTCTAGCACTCTACTTCTTTCGTGTATAGCACTTCTCATAGTTTCTAATTGCTTTGCTGAACTATTTAATTTTTTTAAAAATCTGTCTTCCCTGCATGGATAGTCTATATAAGCATGGGTACTGTGACCCTTGAAGCATCTAGACCACTACAATGTTTGGCAAAGAGATGGTATTTAATAAACATTGACTAAAATAAAAGCTAGTGTTAGTTACAGAATTAAGCTAGGTAGTTTACAATCTTGGAAATCTATACAAAGATGAAATTATTTAATCAGGAATGTCTGTCTTTTTTAGACAGCCATATCTACCTATTTAGGTTTTAGAATAAGTTTAGAAGTATTTGATTAAACTTGAATCTCATTATTTTTTTTCCCTTGTTCCATTTACCCGCCCCGTTTCATTAAGACTTTACCCTTGTCTCTTAAATAGAGGATATATTTTCTCTCCAGAAATAGATTCTTAGTATGGCTCATCCTAACCTAGTTGCCTTTTTTTTCTCCTGAATAATGCATCCACAGGTTTGTTTTTTTTTTTTAAACTTTACTGTAGAAAACTGATAGTAATGTGGCTAAAGTTATTAGCAATAGTGGCTAAAATGAATTTAAACTTTAAAAAGCAAAGTCACAAAAGACAAGATTATTTTACAGGATTAAATCATGCAAAGATACACAAAAATTATGAATATATGAACCTTACCTTATTTGTTTCTACCTCTCTTTGTGGCCTCATCTTGTAAGTCCTCTCTTGGAGACTTCTGGGTGTGTGTGTGTGTGTGTGTGGGTGGGTGGGTGCACACCAAGTGGTTTTCCCACCACAAGCTCTTTGTTTGCATTTTTTATTCTTTGTCTGGAATACTTTTTTCATTGTTCTTATCATGGGTAGCTTCTTTTCCTTCTAGGACTCAGCTCAAACTTACTCCTAAAAGAAGCTAAGTCTCTTCCAGCAGCTATAACAAAGTATCAAAGACTGGATAACCCATAAATAACAAAAATCTTTCTGATGGTTCTGGAAGTAGGAAGTCCAAGATCAAGATGCCAACACATTACATTATTGGTGAATGCTTGCTCTCTTAAAAGCACTAGGTCCCTCCCTTTAACCTTTTTGAATAAGACACTGATATCATTCATGAGAGTGAAGCCTCATGACCTAATCACTTCTTCCAGCCCCCCCCCCCCACTACTACCAAATTGGGCTTTAAGTTCCAGGATATGAATTTGCGGGCCAAACATTCAAGACCATAGTAGTGGCCTTTTCTGATACAGCTGTCTTTTCTCCAGTAGCTCTCCTTGCTCGCATTGTTTTCTGTTCGCCTTTTTGTTAACTTACTCTCCACATTGTACACCATACTCCGTATACCTATTTTATGATGACGAGGTTCATTTTGTACTTACTCCCTAGCGACTTATATCTCTAGCAGCTTAACAGATGTCTGGCACATGATCTGTAAATATCTATTGAACATGTGAACAAGTAAATGAATAATGCTTTAGGGTATTAATTTGTGACAGATTTGCTTTTTGGACAGAATTAGAGCATTTTTTTAAATCATGAAGATATTTGCAATCTGGCAGATTGATTACAGCTACCTGTAGTGAATTAGAAAATATTTCTCTGACTTAAAAAAAACGACTAAAGGGGGCAGGGGATTTAGCTCAGTGGCACAAGCGCCTGCCTTGCAAGTATGTGGTCATGAGTTTGATCCCCGGTACCGATAAAAAAGACAAAAAAATGAAGAAAAAAAAAAGGACTAAAAATACACATAAAAGAAGGAAAGCAAGAGAAATGAAATGAAGAAGGAAAGGGAAGAAATAGGAAAACAAAGTTCTTAGGTTTTAATTCTGTCTTCTTCCTTTCCCTTCATTGGTAATAGTCCAAAATGCTTAAAATTCATAGAATTCATAAAACTACCTTATAACACTTGTACACTGGTGATTTTGGCACTGTGCCAGACTATTAGATTTGCCAACCCTTTAGATATGCTTGATAAAATATATTTAGAAAAATTACATTATAAAAGCTGAATTTAAAAAAAAAATCCCTAGATGCCAGAAAAGCAAAGAGTAACCAATGGCATTGATATTTTCAAAAGTTCTTTTATTGATAAATAAAGTTTTATTTATTGTTAGTAGGCTAAACTTCTAAAATCATTATCTTGAAATCCAAAGTAATGTTTAAAGCTTTTTTCTGTTTTGTTTTTGTTTTTGTTTTTGTTTTGAGACAGGTTTTCATTTGTGTATTCCAGGCTGGCCTTGAACTCAGTATTCAGAGCATACCCCAAACTGGCCCAGAACTTGTGATCCTCCTGCCCTGGCCTCTCTTGTGCTAGGGTTAAAAGTGTAGATCATCATACTCATTTCTAAAGTCTGCCTAAAAAATAGTTTTTGTACTAAGTGCTATTTTGTACTAAGTACTATTTAACCTTCTTGAGATTATGGGCTATTTGTGTCACCTTATAGGTATTAAATGAGGCATTTTTGCCAGAAAAGTTTCCATGCAAAAGTTTTATATGTTTTAATATGGATTTATGGTGCACTAAACCTCACCTATGATCTGTGTACATGCCTGTGAAATTACAGTTTCAGAATTTGATTCACAGTGTGTTCTATTGATAAAACATTAATTTTAGTGATAGTAATTTTCATTTACTAGTCAAAAATAGTTGTAAAGTTTTTACTTAAAGTAATACTTTGATATTTTAGCATTAAACTGTTATTGAATATCTTATTCTCTACCAGTCTGACCAATTTCTATCATATAGTTTGATAAATTAATGAATTAGTTTAAGAATATTTAAAAAACCACTTGTGAGGTTTTTTGTGTAATTGTGAAAATAAAATTTTCTTTGGTATTCATATTGACATCAGAGATCTAACTACAGGTATTTTGAAGGTACATGTTATTTTATTGTTACATTTCAATGTAGGTTCAAATTAATGTTTTTTTATATTTTAAGGTAAATGAACATTTGAAAGACATAATTGAGCAAGAACAAAAATTGAAAGAACATCATACAGTTGAAGCTCCAGGTGGTCAAAAGGTATTTCAAGGAAAAAAATTACAATCATGATACTGTATTTATATATATATATATATTATTTTGAGAAATATTTATAGTTTTAAGTTTTCTTTAATGCTCTTAACTGTACCCCGTGAAACCATGTCATGAACACTAAGTAGATACAACTATAAAATGACAAATAATTGGGCAATAGAATTTGGGAAAAAATTTATTGATAACTAGAACTCAGTTTTTGAGGTGCTTTTGACAAAAATAATGGTGTTTTTGTTACATACATTTTGACAAAATATATGAAATAAGAAAATAATTTTAAACATACTAGCTTTTACTAGCTTTTATAATGTTTGCCATATAGCCAACATTTAAAATAGCATTCCTGGGGCTGGGGATTTAGCTCAGCGGCATACGTGCCTGCCTGTCAAGTGTAAGGTCATGAGTTCAATCCCTGGTACCAAAAAAAAAAAATTCAGTAAAATAACATTCCTGGAATTTCATGTTGTATATGATTTACTCTGTAAGGAAAGAAATATTAATATGGGTTTGTTCTTTTAAAACTCTCAAATATGCTTTTAGGGTTTTATTCCACAAAATGGAATTCTGTGTTTTTCATATACTATACCGAAAGTATATTTTCAAAATAATATTCTTTCTTTTCTTTTAAAATATATTGTAATGAGTACATTTTAAACACATATAGTATTAGAACTGAGAGTCAGGAAATTACAGTTATTCAGAAACTACATTTTCCATTTAAATTATTTAAGTCTTTTCAGTATTACACAACACTTATAATTCATTTTGGGCTTCTCCTATTTCTTCATAAGAAGAGAAAAAATAAAATTGTTTTGTCTGTCATTGAATCCAAGAGAAAAATTTTGTAGAGGATCATCCAAAATGTTTGTTTTAATTTAATGTTTTGGGAACACTGATTTCTCCATCTCTGTTACTGACTTAATTCCTGTAATTAGAATATATGCTTCATTCTTCTTCTTTGTTGAGGTCTTTTCTACTAAGGTAGAGCAAAATGAAACTCTCTTTTTTTTTCCCGTTACCCATTTCATTTGCCTACTTTCAACTTCATCCCTCTCACATCCCCCAGTCCTTTCCTTTGATTTCTCTCCCATAATGTAGGAAACTTTTGTCTTGGAGATATATATAATCTTGCCCCTCCGTGTTTTGTTCCTGGCCCTTAAGAATAAGGTTTAAGGTAGCTTAATGTTTTTCTTTTTTTTTTTTTTGTCTTTTTCATTTTTATCGGTACCGGGGATCGAACTCACGACCGCCTGCTTGCAAGGCAGGTGCTTATGCCGCTGAGCTAAATCTCCAACCCCCAAGGTAGCTTAATTTTAAGTTATAAAAACTAATGAAAATTGTCCTTAGAAATCTTATTTATTTATAATGGTGCATTATTATGTGTACATTGTGAATTAATGGGGACAAAAAATCCAGTAAATTATTTCTGTGAGAAAAAACACTATGTGTTTCAGATAACCAAACTGATCTTTTAAGAAAAACGAATTATAGGGGCTGGGAATTTAGCTCAGCGGCATAAGCGCCTGCTTTGCAAGCAGGCAGTCGTGAGTTCGATCCCCGGTACCAATAAAAAGGAAAAAGATCAAAAAAAGGAAAAAAAGAAAAACGAATTATGAAATTTAAACCCTATTTGTCTTATACTACTTTTTTATAGCGCTTAGTCCTATGAAATTGTACATCTGAATGAGTTGATTGAGTGAATAAATAAATAATTGTGTGATTCATTTTTAAATATTTGTATTAGCACACACTTGATTTACAGCTCATGTAGAATTTATATCCCCATTCTCAAATGAGTTTTATCACTTTCCATTGTTAAAATATTTGTGAAAGTATTAATTTCATAGTATACTACATATACAGATGTCATTATTTCAAAGAAACCATCAGGCCAGGGATTTAGCTCAGTGGCCTAAGTGCCTGTGAGTTTGATCTCCAGTACCAAAAACAACAACAACAACAATAAAGAAGCCATCACAGAATAAGTGAAGAAGAGGAATCTTGCTAATCTTATAGCCTTCGATAGTTTATAAAGGAATTTTTGGTATACTTGGTTTGGCTGGAAGTATTATTCCATATTTTAATTTCATCCTGTAAAAGCAAAATCTGTAATGGTTTTCTCTGTTTAGAAATACAGAATAAAATGACTTGTTCTTTATTTTATGCAGTTTGTGAGAAATTGCCTCTTTACTTATCTTAGCTAGCTTCTAATGAGACACACTTAGATGCCTGCCCATCTTGTCTGTTACTTACCCAGCTATAGACAGAGGCCATGATGTTGGATAATGTATCTTACCTTTTATCCTTGCCCAACTCGGTCAACTTGGAATGTTCCAAAAAATTTTGTTTATAAAACTTATTTTTATAAACATAATTCTTGGCAAAATATGCATGTGTGAAAGGATTTTTTTGTTTGTAATTTGAGGCAGGGTCTCACTATGTACTTCAGGCTGGCCTTGAACTCATAGCAATCCAGTTGTTGAGCATTCAGGTGTGCATCACCATATGGCTTGTTGTTTTGAAGGATAATTGTACTGTGGTATTAGAACAAAATTAAAGATTCCATCAGGTGTTACTTTAGGTTATTCGATCCTCTGATGAATACATATTTCTAATTGTTGGCTTGGTTGATGTCCTAAGGAAAACATGTCAAGTAGTGCCATATCTAGAAAAATGTTTTGTTTACTACTGTTATTTTCTTCTTTGTTGTCAAGTTGCTCTTTTTGTTCCTAATACTCTTCCATGTAAAGTGGATTCCCAGTTAAATTTGAATTCCAGGTAAACAAATTTTTGATGTAGGCTTTATGGGTGTCTTACAATATGTTGGCATCTCTATATTTGTATTTGCTCAACCTGGAAGCTTTACAGATCTCTCACTTGATAGCCAAGATGACATTTGTGTTCTTACACAGTTTGCATAAAATACTATGATAAAATATCATACTATGATATAAAATACTATGATAAAATCTCTCAAGATTACAACAGTTGGGGCTGGGGATTTAGCTCAGCGGCATAAGCGCCTGCCTTGCAAGCACACAGTCGTGAGTTCGATCCCTGGTACCGATAAAAAAAAAAAAAAAGATTACAACAGTTTTGCCACTAATTAGTTTTATGATCTTTTCAAAGGCACTCGACCTCCTTGGACCTCACTTTCTTCATAAATGTCAGAAGGCTGGAAAGACTGTATAAAATGGTTCTTATATTCTGTGACTAAAATGATTCTCAGAAGGTTTTTTTCTCAGTACATTAGTAAACATAAGGAACTCAAAAAGATTAATAAAAATGTCTTAGGTTTTCATAGACTTTTCTAGGTGTATATTCTTATAAGAAGAATTATGATAATTGTACGAGTGAAACTTTTACACAGACCTTTTAGGCAATGTAAGATTTTAACAGATCTTAGGATATTTTATAATATTTGGAAAGGAGATATAACTCAGTGGTAGAGCATTCCCAACATGTGAGAGACCTAGATGTGAGCCCTAGCATTGCAAAAAGAAAAAAAAATTTTTTTTGGAAAGGAGGGCACTAGGCCTTAAGGAATAACAGGAATAGAGACAATAAATTTCAAGTAAAGAGTATATTTTTGGATTTTATTTTTCTTTTTTTCAGCACTGGGGTTTGATCCCTGGACCTTGCACATGCTAGGTAAATGCTGTGTCACTGAGTTACATTCCTAGCCCCTAAAGCTTGTGCCAAGCTTTCTGGGACTATCATTTTTGAAAGAGCTATGAATTCATGGGATTGTATTCTTAATACATTATCACACAGAAAGTGAATTTTAATGTTTCTCAACAGCTATATATTTATTCAGTGTGGCATTTGCCACTTTTTAAAGAGATAGATTTGTGGAATATTTTAAGGAAAAATGCGTCTGTGGGAATAGGAATTAGGTGCAGTAATCATCTCTGGAGAAAGACATTCATTTGAGCTCTAATTGCTTTTCACTGGATTAGACTCGAAGCAGACTACACTTTCCCCAGTGGTAGGTAAATGCTTATAGAATTTAATTGGTGATTACTTCAGTGCCTGAATTTCTCCCTTGACCATGGTTCCTTAGCAATTAAAAACTATAGCCCACTTTTTCCTTCAAACTGTCTTCAAACAGTGCTTTAATATCTATTTAAGAGAAGGTCTCTGAAGCCAGATATATGGTCTGTAGCCCTTTATGAGTGTTATATACTATTTTAATATATTAAAGGCTCAAAAAACTGGTCTAGGGGCTGGGGATTTAGCTCAGTGGCATAAGCACCTGCCTTGCAAGCAGATTGTCATGAGTTAGTTCGATCCCCAGTACTGATTTAAAAAAAAAAAAAAAAAACTGGTCTTTTTTTTATTTTTGAGCACTCTTATGAGAGACGTCTACTAACAGTCTACAGAATTAGTGTTCTTTGGAGCATGCTTTGAAAAACATTGGTTTGTAATCTGTAACTATGTACTTGAATAAGTTGTCTATTTAATACATATTTAAATATATCAGACAAGCAATTAATGTTCCGATGTAGTACATCATTCTCAGATACATCATTTGGCTTGAGTCTTAAGAGTAGGGAGAAGGAGTAAAGAAAAGGGATGCATTCCTTTTTTTTTTTTTTTTAAATCCAATTACTGAATATTTCTTAGGAAGTTTAAAGTAACTTGAATCTTTAGGAACACTTTTGTATACCTGCTGTTATGAGCAGTCCATAATAATTTTTATCACTAGTGTCAAATATTTCTAGTCTAGAAAATAAGAAACTCTTCATTTTTAAGTTTTTTATTATAACATGGGGAATTCTGACACACTTCAGTGATTTTCTGTTCTTTTATCCTGTTCTTGTACTTTTTATGGTGGTAGTTACTAAAAACTTTCTGTTCTATGGGAGATTGGGTCATGCAACAAAATTACTGGAGTCATTCTTTCTTATGGTATAAGAAAATTAATTGGAAAGTTACCTGTTTGCAAGAAATCAGTACTTTCTATTTCTTGAGATGACATCTAATTCTTGAAGTTCTTGAAAATAACTAGTTCATATTGTTTTTGCAGACACTTTTATTTTTACTGTTTGTATAGGAAAAACTTTCTGTATAAATAACAAATACAAATTTTAACTTATTTCATCTAGTTTGACTCAATTCAAAAATATTTATTCAGGGTACTAGAAAATTTTCTGAGAAGAATGCAGATAAATAATCACAAATTATGCTCATCTGGGATTGTGGGTTGTTATATTCATTTTTTTAAAAAAGAACTATTATATTCTTCAGGACACCCTCAGTAAGATTAACAGTAACATTCATACTGAGAGTAAATTGATTTGCTTTATAACTATATTCTTAAAAATAATCCTATTTCCCTTTAGGAAAAGTATTCTTATCAGACTTGGTCTACTAATGTCTAAGAATTATGATTGCAAACCTGACCCTAGAATCTTTTTACTTATCTTTTATAGTAATAATTCATTTTTCAGTATGACATGTGATTCTAAAACCGAGAAATAAAATTCCTTGCAGCCAAAATATACAACATATTGTGTGTATCCTAAAGTAAATTTCTACATGGGGGAAAAATAAGGCAAAAGAAGGTGGTGATCATTACTCTCAAGAACCTGTATTTTTTCATTACAGTGTTAATTAACATGAAGAAATATTAGAACAATAAACTTGAAATTTCACTGTTAGAAGCTCTACTATAATTTAGTAATTAAAATAATTCTGATGAATTTTCCCTTTACCTTTGCTTTCCCCCTTTGTTTCTGCTGCTTCCTCTGAAGTCTCCTTCCAAATGGTTCTGGAAACTGGTTCCAGTAAGTGTGCCCAGCTACTTCAATTTGCTTCCCAGAACTGTAATTGTAGAATGGTATGGTTTATGTCTTGCTGGTGTCATTTCATGTAATTCTGTAGGTTAGGTTTTAAGATATTTGGTCATATTGTAATAGGAAATGTAGCATACCTAGCCAGAATTGGGATTCAAAATTCAAAAGATGAAATAGTAATCATTGTTTTGCCATTTTCATTAGTACTTACAGAGCATCAATAAATATAACAACAGCAAAAAAAAAACAGTCTAAAGAATGTGGTCTTAATTTTAGGAAAAGTGAATTTGAATTGCATGTATAAATTAGCTATTTTTAAATTATCTTTGGGACAGGATCATATTCTTTTCAGTCTGAGTTGTAAAGCACTCTTTACTTTTTGTGTAATAAGAAAAGCAGGAAGTTTTCGTGTCCTTGTAAATGTGGACCTAAACTATACTAAATTCTGATCGGACTTGAAGGAATGATCTTCTAGGATTGGATATAGGGAGTTCAACCATTTAAGAACTACTTTATACCTTCAAGAATAAAAATTAATTTAGAAATACAACACAATGATGACATCTAAAAAGTACAGGGCTTCTTATAAGTAACAATTTTTTTAAGTTTGTAGAAGGAATAGGAAAAAGGAACATTATAAAATGTATAGTATGTTCAAATATAAAAGAGTATAATTGTCATGAACTGGAGATGAAATATCCAAGATTATACATAACCTCAAGACTTAAGTTGGTTTAGTTGGTGTATTTTCTAGGATATGGTCCTCAAGGAAAGTGTTCTGCTGAATCACTTATAAGTTTCTGTTGTCTGTCTAGACCATAAGCAATTTTTGCTACTACCACATAAAGCTGTCTATGAGTGTAACAGTAACACACAACACAAGCACGTACTCTGTCTAGAAGTGCTCTTGGTGCAGTTTGGTTCTTTATCCCATGAACCTGGCTATGTGATTCAGTCTGATTTGGGTTGTAGACTGAAAGCAAATCAGTCCTGAGAAGTTTGTTACTGAGCCCAATGTAGACTATGTCCAAAATACAAACTTTTTTGATGTGAGATGACCAAAGAAAAGAGGGCAAGGATCCAGAACGGCACTCACTGAATGTGAGAGAGAAAGCCTAAGGATAAAAGATGGTGCTGATTTTGTCTCAATCAATCTCTCTCTCCTTTTCTCTTTTTCCTATCTCCTTTTCCCGCTCTTCTCCTCTTTCCAAGGCTGATTTTCAAACTAAGGAAAATAGTGAGGAAGTTTTCTAAAGATCCTGTAATCAAAGAATCTGTGTGGAATTATTTTCTGAATATAGATACTCTGAGTTAGGAATGTACCATAAAATAGATGTATGGGTTGCACTGATTAGTAAGAATAAGTTCTTCCAAAAATCTGCAAGAGGAATACCTGTTCCGTGAATCATGTTCTTTGAATAGCCAGCGAGACAGAAGCAGAATGTCATTTAAAAGAAACCTAACCACCACCAAATGTTCGATGTTCTTTTCAGTAAATTTAAGTGTTCCTATTTTTATTCTCGCAATATTTTGTGTCATCATTATATTTTAACTATAAAATGTAGAGGTGACTAGTTAAGATGGACTTAGAAGAATAATTTTCATTTTTTTAAAAAAGTGACTTTAAATATCACTTGCAATAATAAACTTTGCTAATAAAATACTTTAATATGCGTTATAACTTAATCTTTGGCACTGTTTTTCTTGGCTTTACAGAAGCCACTAGATAAACAGCAGGTAACCTTTATTGATTGTTCTCATGTACCTACCAGTAGGCATAGCACTTTGAATCCACTGTTGTGTTCAGTCCTCTAATGGGTCTGTAAAGTACAAGAGATGCTGTTACTGCCCCCATCTTATAGATGGTTGCATGAAAGTGAGAGTTAAGTAACTTATCCAAGGTGACAAGGTAAATAAATCAGAACTGAGATCTTAGTTCAGGTAGTCAGACTCAAACATTTATACACTTAGCTGCTTTTGTCTCCTTTGCAAGGCACTGTCTTAAAATCTGAATCCAACTACATCAAATACTTTTAGAAATCAAAGATTTCTTCTGTTTTCCTAAGGGAAAACAGGAACCCTTACAATCAATAGTGATTGATTAATAAAACTCAGATCAGGGAGGTTTTTTGGTTGTTGTTTTTTCAGTTTCAAAGTTGCTAACACTTTATTTGCTTTATTTACAACATTCAAATGATGAGACCGAATGTGTTTGGTGCTGTGATTCCAGTTCCTCAAATTAATATTTCTCTTATCTCCAGATTTCCTTTAAAAATAATATGTTCATATACCTAGCCCCCAATTTTAATAATTCTTGTAATTCTTTTTGCTCCATTGGTACTTCTGCACTTTCCATATTAGAATTTTATCTTTTTGTGTAAGAATTTTCAGCCTGGGGCCAAGGACTTCGCTCAGTGGTGTAAGCACCTGCCTGGCAAGTATGAGGTTGTAAGTTCAATCCCAGTACCAAAACAATAATAATAAATTAAGGATTTTCACTCTAAACTAAGTCTAATAAAACAAATGAAAAATTTAATCTACAAATAAACAACTGGAAAAGAACTCAAATCTGTTTTGTAATAATTTTTAAGTAACCTAAATGTTATCTCATGTAAACTAGTAATGTCATGTTAAATGTTTAGCATATATTTAATATTATTAAATATTATGTTGCCATGTGCTTCATTTTGGTAATATCTAATATGATTTACAAAAGAAATTGGTGAATAGTTCTCACTTCTCTTGACTTGTATTTTATTAACTGATGCACTAGAATATACAGTTGTAATTTTTTTCCCTGTATGTTCCTTAGTACTTATCTCTGTCTCACTCATTCATTGTAGGCTCGTTATAGGAAGGAACAAACATTGCTTAAGCAGCTGCCTTGCATTCCACTGGTAGAAAACTTGTTGAAGGATGGTACAGATGGCTGTGCACTAGCTGCCCTTATTCATTTTTACTGTCCTGGTGTTGTCAGATTAGAAGGTAAGTGTTCTGGTGAAATGTTTTCAAACTTCAGATAAATGATAAGAAAAATGTTTCAGATAGTAGTTAATAGTTTGATACTCCCCACAAGCACATTAACTGTTCCTCTTTTGAATATCTAAAATTTATATTTTAGAAATAATAATGAGGATTGGGGATTTAGCTCAGCAGCTCAAGTGCTTGTGTGCTATGTGTGATGTCGTGAATTCAATCCCTGGTACCAAAAAGAAAAAAGAAGAGAAGAAAAGAAAAAAAATTATTAATAAAGAGAAAAATACATCCCCCCCCCAAATGAAGCTTTTAAAAATACTTACGTATAATTTTGAGGAAGATAAGAACTTTTGTGTAATAACTACTGTTTGTAAATGTATGTTATTAAACAGATTTCACAAAATTGTGTATTTGTACTATCACTAATTTTTCTCAGATGAATCACTTTGCTCTTTTTCTATTTGAAGATATTTGTTTGAAAGAAACTATGTCTTTGGCTGATAGCCTGTATAATCTGCAGCTGATTCAAGAATTTTGCCAAGAATACTTGAACCAGTGTTGCCATTTCACTCTGGAAGATATGCTCTATGCTGCTTCATCTATAAAGGTAAATTAAATGATTCTCTTTTTTCCTTTGCTTTGTTAAAGGTTGTTTTAAAAAAATAACAGAAGAAATGGCCTAGTTATATTAAGCTCATGCACTAATTATATCAGTCAGCAGAGATTTTGAAAAATAATTTGTTTGCTTTTTCTGTTCATGTTTTCAATACATTATTAGTATTCAATATAGTATTCAATACAATTAATTTTACAATGCAAAGCCAAACTTAAAGGCATGTATAGAACTGACTGTTAGCGGAGTGCAGTGGTACATACCTGTAATGCACTAACAGACTGAAGCAAGAGGATTGCAATTAAGTCCTGCCTGGGCCAATTAAAGAGCCTTGTCTCCAAATAAAGAAGTAAAAAGGGCTGAGGAAGTAGTTCAATGGTAGAACACCTCTGGGTATAGTTCCCAGTACCACAAAGCAAAACAAAACAAAAATCCTGATCTGTTCTAATGCTAATAAAATAGAATATGAGCCTTGAGTCAAAATGTAGGATTCCAAAAAGGGAAGAAAATATTAAAATGATCTGGAAATGAATTTTCTGAAAAGGAATGCTGTTGTATTAATTATTATATTATTATATTTACATCTTGTTTCAGAGTATTATGTACTATCTATTGGTATTTAGCTGCTTCTTACTGCTGTCCTTCTAGAAGTAACTTGTTAAGCAACTAATAGTGTTCTTGATAGTTGGCATAAATCAGTAAATGAAATAGGCAAAGGTTCCCATGCCTTTGAAACAGATTTTCTCCTGGCAGAGACAGACACAAGTCTCAGGCAGAGTCCATCTGCTTCTGAGCTGCAAGTTAAAAGGCAGCTAATGATCTAGAGTGTCATTTAGCTAAAAATACTGTTATTCCCAGTGGCCCACAGTTCTGAAATTCTTTGATATTCCTTACATCCTTTGCCTAAAATTTGCCCTTTTGTGTCAAGGATTTAAGAATAATGGATCTTTTAATAAATTTAAAAGTTTGCCTGAGAGGAACAACTTTATATCAATCTTAACCATAGTTCTAAATGCAACCTTAATAGAAACCACTTATGGGCCACTCACTGGGACGCTAGTGATAATGTACTTTCAATTGTTGTTCTTGGGGCTGGGAATTTAGCTCAGCGGCATAAGCGCCTGCCTTGCAAGCAGGCAGTCGTGAGTTCGATTCCCGGTACCGATGAAAAGGAAAAAAGACAAAAAAAAAAAAAATTGTTGTTCTTCAGGGTCTTACCTCTTCTTTCTATGCCAATGTAGGATTACTAGAGGACAAAAGATAGAGCCAGTAGGGAAAGCATTTCCAAAATAGGCATGCTTCTGTTAACCCTAAGTAGTACCCACCCCTTACTCTAAGACACTATCAAAAGAAAACCCTTAATTCTGAAGATTTGTATCTTGCCTTTTTCATCAAAATGGAAGTTAGGAACCATTATTTTCATATATCTCTTGCTAATGAGCTTTCTGTTACTTGCCTATAAGAAAATTTGATTTCTATAATCTCAAAGGGTAAAAAATTACTTGTTAAATTATAAAGCCATAGGTTTGAATTTACATGAGTATCTTGAGACTCAAGCCTTCTACAAGTTACGTGGTCCATGATGCTTGCAAACCTCATTTTCACTTTAATAACACGTTATAAGTACTATCTTCCCTCTTGGGAAAAGTAAAGTGCTCTGGTCACTCACTACAGAGTGCAATTTGGTTTTATTTAACCAAATTTAAAATACAGAGGAAAATGTGAGTCTTTGAGGTTGATCCTGAGCATCTTGAAAAACAAAACCAGTACAAAAATCATGTATAAAGAATTTTCATAGTAAAAATGATTGATCATAATGTGGCATAAATTAAAATATTTTGTAATGCAGTTGACCTCAAAGGAAAGGGAGCTACTTTTACTAAAGAAAGAAAGTGCTTAACAAATATAATGTACTGCATGATGTAATTTAAATCTTTTTTTTTCTTCCTTTTTGGTGCTGCTAGTAGTTAAACCTGGATTCATTGAGCCATACTCCCAATCCCCAAAATCATTTCCCATTTATGTGCAAACATATATACATCCTGTCTACTCTCTGTACCTGAAGGTTCCAATTCAGCTAACCACAGATAATGGTGAAAAAATCCTGTGTTAATACTAAACATGTATGAATGTTTTATTTTGTTTTTGTTCATTCCTAAAAATTTCAGTTTACATAGCATAACTGTTTATGTAACATTTACATTGTATTAGGTGTTACAAAGAACCTGTAGAAGATTTGTGATAGTCTATGGGAGGATGTATGCGTTATATGTAAATACTACACCATTTAAGGTTAAAACTCAGGCATTACAGACTTTGGTGTTCATGGTTGATGCTGGAACTGAGGGATGGTTCTATATAGGTACACAAAAATGCTTTGTAGAACGGTACACAACAGTGATTTCTTCTGAGTGTGGTATTAGGATATGGGGGCTATGGCATATTTTTGCTATTCTGTGTTTATATATTCTGTGTCATTTACCTTGTTTTAATATGTAACTTTGAAAGAAGGAAAGAAGCAGTTTTTACATGAAATTAATGTGGTACTCTTTTTTTCCCACAAACACTGACATGCATTTTTGTGGTGAGTTCTCAGCTGAGACCCCATCCTCTTAAATAAACAAGTGCATAGAAAAGAAGGGATTTAGAAAGTTTTGTACAATATCTACATCATAGATCCCAAGGCAGGAAGGGGGCTTACAAATTTATTGCCTTTTAGTCATAAATCTAGAACAAAATAATCTTCATGAGCTTTAGTCACTAAGAAAACTATTTCTTACTATATTGCCCAAACAATATGATTGTGTTATTGAGACAGCTATGTGCCAAGGTCTTTAAAATATTGGTTTTTTGTCAACAGATAATTTTTGAACATGTAAGAAGTGTTTTTCTATAGGAGCCAGGGATATAGCTCAATGGCACAAGCACCTGTCTGGCAGGTGTGAGGTTGTTTGACTCTTGGTATCCTTCCCCCTCCAAAAAGAAAGAAAGAGTGTTTTTCCAAAAGATAAAGTCAAATTTCAGTTAACTGCTAAGAGAGTGGAAAGCAGCACCAGTGTTTACAAAGTTAATTTTTTTACTTTGGCCTTAGAAAGTATGCTATAAACATAAGTATAAAGAAAAAATATAAATCATAGAAACCTTACTACACAGTCATAGGCCTTTATCAATGGTTGGTTATTTTGTTGAATATACATTCATTCATTTAGCAAGTATTTATTAAGTATCTATTATGTTCTAGGCTCTGTTTTAAACAATAGAACATAAAATGATGAGCACAGGCTTTGTCTTTCCAGACTTATTTGTAGACTGCCTGGTAAAATGAGAAATTTTGGAGAATGTGATGTTAGATAAAGCTGGAAAGATGAAAAAGTACCCAATCAAGTAGCCTGTTATAAACTATACTAACCTTTCCCTTTTATCTCAAGAATAGTGAATAGAGGGGGGAAAGTTTGTTCTTAATAAAAACCAATCAGAGAGGGCAAATTTGTCCAAACAAGAATCAGAACTGTAATGATGAAAATGGAGAGGATGCATAGATTCCAGAAATATTTAGAATGCAAATTTTGCAGATTGTGGTGTTACCTTGAATATGGAGAAGGAAAGAAAAGGTGTCAAGGATGTCTCCTGGGTGTATGATTTGCACATTGAAATAATGGCCATCCAATGAGATAGGACTGGAGTAAAATTAGATTTAAAGGGAAGATCACTATTTCAATTTTGGACATTAGTGTTTTTGAGATACTCAAAAGAAAATGGTTTGAAAACCATTGTATATGTGAGTACATTTAAGAGGCATTTGGTACATACAAGCTCACAAACATTAGCAGTATTTCAAAGAGAAGAAAGATCATGGGTATCTGCCACTGCTAAAAGATCATGTAGTGAAAAGTCTTCAGTTTAGCAAAATATTTAAGTCATTGGTGACTTGAGAAAATTCTGTTTTGAAGCAACAATGTGGTTCAGTGATAGACTAGAATAGGTCAGACAGTAGGAGAGGATGAAATGAAGCATGTAATAAAGGCTTGCTCTTAAAGTATGGGAGAGGCATGGGCATGTTTAAAAGCCAAGTAGGAAAGATTCACCTGAGAGGGGTATATACTAAGAACATTAATTCTGAAAAGGCAAGCAGGGATGAGATCCCATCCCCAGTCTGAGGAATTACAAACATGCTGCTTCCAATAGTATTTGTATATAAACATTTTAATATTCTGTGAGTTTACAGTGATAGCATATACTTAAAGTAGGAAACCTACCAAATTCTGTTTACCACCCTTCATATCCTGTATGACACTCCAGACTCTTACACTCATCTCCCTCAAGACAGGTCTGCTTAACTGATAACTGTGTCAGAGGTGATACAATTCATGATTCCTTTCACTACCTGTTTCTCTCATCTTCTTTATTTTATTAAATGGTAATATTAGTTGCTAAAGACTAAAACCTAAGAGTCTTCACCTGTGATTCTTCTCTCTCAGTCACTTCCTCCATTCACCATAGACTCAGGAACTATCATATAAGAAATGAGTATTTGGGGGCTGGGGATTTAGCTCAGTGGCATAAGCACCTGCCTTGCAAGTGTGTGGTCTTGAGTTTGATCCCCGGTACCGATAAAAAAGAAAAAGACAAAAAAAAAAAAAAAAAAAAGAAATGAGTATTTGAAAGTTACTAGCTTAAATATGAGAAATCAAGCCAAAAGAGAGTAAAGAGATTTTGAATATAATTTTTACCTAAACTATGTGATTTTTTACTAAACTTAATAGCTTATACTTAATATTCTCCAGTAATGGAGGGGTAGGGTTTAATCCCTGTATTTTCATAGATAAAGTAGATTATGATTTTGTATCATTAATTTGTAATCAGGTTTAACCTAATTTAGAGTCTCTTTTAATTTTCTTAATTTTTTTCATTATAGAGTAACTATTTGGTGTTCATGGCAGAACTCTTCTGGTGGTTTGAAGTTGTGAAGCCGTCATTCGTACAACCTCGCATTGTTTGTCCACAAGGAGGTAACCACTTCTTTACAAATTTTTAATGTGGAAAATATGGAACGTTTATGTAACCTCACCAAGTTATTCTTTCAGAGGAAAACCTATTATTGTGTTAGATTTCAACTGTTATCCTTGATAGATTCTAAGGACTATATTTTCATATCTTAAAGCCTTAAAAGTCTCTAAAAAGCTGATGATTAATATGGTTAGGAGAATAGAAAAGAAAATGGAGAGAATGGCTCTGATTTGAAATCTTATTATTTGGAACTTTTAGCTCTACTATGTGCCATCTACTTATTTGTATCTTTTATGCCTATCCAGTTTTTATTCATCTTAAAATTTTTGTTCTTACTATATTACTTAGGATCCACTGACATTATTGTTGGACTTTAACTTACAGTCTAAATTTGCATTTAAACCATAAAAAGGTTCTGTATAAATTTTTAAATCTAGTAGACTGCAATTGTTACAATATCCTGATGTATTATACATAATAATAAAACTAGTAAGTAAAGAAGTTACCGTAAAGATCCTGAGCAATAAGGAACAAAAACGCCTCTTTAACTTTCTCTAAAACAAAATTTTGTATACTAAAACAAATTTCCTATTGGCTTCCATATAAAATCAGATGCTTATTTCTACAGGGGAGAGAATTATCTCAAATTATAAAGGTTAGTCCAGTAATAAACTGTGTTCCAGAGTGAATTATATAACCAATGACTATCCCACCTAACACAAGGCATGCCTGTTGTGCATAATAACTAATTAGCAGTTTTCCTAGACCCCACAACTTATTTTTTTAATCACTGTAGTTATCCCCCGCCCAAGAAGAAGTAGATAAGAAAGCAGTAAGGAAGGAAGGAAAAAGTATTAGCCAATGAGGAGGTATATCATTATAGAGGATACAGTGAGCTTACCTTAGGCAGTGTCTTGTTACTTTGCTTGTCCAACACTCACAAATTACAGGAGGAAGATTTTATTAGCTCACAATTTGTAGAGGTTTCAGTCTACAATTAGCTAGCTCCAAGGCAGAGTGGCACATGGCAGAGGGGCAACAATTCATGGTGGCAGAAAACACCAGAAGCAACAAATGGAAGGAAGAAACAACAAGACAAACCTCTTTCTGCCCCTATATTGTACCCAGCCTACCAGGATAGATTTGTACCAGTCCAATCAGTAGACAGAGCTGGGAATCACTCTCCCTTAATCCCAGCATCATACAATGAATCAATGACACACTGTAGATTCAGCCACCTCCAAAAAAACTATGACTGGATGAAAATTTAGGGGGACATCTAGACACAAACCATTATAGATAGCTCACTGCATCTGGCAAAAATCTGAAATAGGCAATGAGTAGTCTGTCCTATTGTGCCTAAGCTGTATAGAGCAGATTCTGAATATTGAGCCATTAGTCAATAAAAGAATATCCTTCCAGAATTTGAGATATCTCCTTAAGGCCATTACATAAAGTCACATATCTTTAGAAATTATCATGACCCATATTTGTACAGTTTTTAAATTAAAATATTTTTACCTACATTGCTTTCTATTATTTTATCTATAAAATCCATTACTTAAGTACCAGCAACAGTTTCATTAAATATCAAAGGAAAAAAGTCAGTTGTTTTTTCAGTTACTCATAAAAACTCCTTCAGTGAGTTTATTTTCCAGTGAATTGTCTTTATCAAAATGCCAACTGTTCCTTCCATAAAAAAGCAAAGATGACCATATGAATCAAATTCTGAGAAAGCTTTCACAAAATTAAGAAAAATTTTAAAGTATCTACATTATTTTATGGTAGGCTCCCCTTCCTCCAGTTAAACTAAATCAAGTAAATTCTTTAAAGTACAAAATTTAACCCTTTAGTTTTAAACATTTATGATCCAGAATTCCTGAGATAATGTTAGAAACATGCTAAATGTATAATTTTGAGATTTTATCTTTTATTCTAGCTGAGCCTGTAAAAGCTTTTCCATCAATTCCTGTCTTGAATGCGGCCAAAAGAAATGTCTTGGACAGCTCATGCAGTTCTGATTTTACTTCAAGGTAGATACCATGATCGCTTCATTTTCACTGTTTTTACTCCATTTACTAATGAAATTACATAGTTTAGGGGCTGGGGATTTAGCTCAGCAGCATAAGCGCCTGCCTTGCAAGTGTGCAGTCGTGAGTTCGATCCCTGGTACTGATAAAAAAAAAAAGAAAAGAAAAAAAATTACATAGTTTACATTAGTAAGATTTTTAAAAATTTTTAGTTCAATCTATTAAAGTCTATTTTAATGTAAGTATAATTGAGAAGGAAATAAAGGTTTCATAAATGTCTCTAGTGAACTACACTGAAAAGTGGGAATATATCATATGATCCAAATAACCAACCTAAAATTAAACTTGTGCTGTGTAATTGCTCATAGTTGAAGATTATCCCATTGTATAATTGATAATTGTCTAATAGATAACTCTGAAGCCTCAAGGGGATTTCAGAGTTATGTTTTAATTTTTTTCATCTTTTAAAGCAATTTTTCCCCACTGTTTTGTCTCCTGGTTACTATTGCTGTTGAGAGATAGCAGTAAAATACCTATTATAAATAGGGACTCTTTCTCTACTGCCTGATCCCCTAATATCAGGAATTGAGCTGAAAACAAACTAAAAAATGTTCTGCCATTTAATGTCAGAATAATCGTGACTACTGTTTCAAATATGTGATAGGGACATTGGTTTACTTTAAAATGTTCTTTGGCATTTCCTGTAAGCAGCTTTTAATTTGTGTGTATCAAACCTAAAATTTATATTGACTTGGACTGATTTTTTTGGCTTAAAATCAGTGTGTTTTCAAAAATTTCAATCACACTCAAAGGTTCATTTAAAAATAAAGCAAAAAAGTTACAGTACTTTATAACATTTTTTATTTATAAACTTACTCTGGACCTATGACTTACTATTTACATTTAAAAAGTTTCACTGTCAAATTCAGACTAATTTATGTGAAGTCCAAGGCTTGACTGAACATTTGGCAGTATTCTTACTCCCTTTATAAGATTTCTTCCCTGTGTGAACTGTCTGAGGTCTGTAAGGGATTTCTTCCAAATCATTTTCTTTTCTTACCCTCCAATTTACTACTATAAACAGTATTACTATTTCCATTAACTTTTCTATTCATAACTCTCTGTGGTTTAATACCAAGGAGTGAAGTTCTTTGATCAACAAAGTTTTTAACCTATGTATATTTTTCCCATGGGTAATTTTTTTTCTAAATACTATCTCCTCAGTGCTTTGGTTGATTATATAGTGATATTTCCTTCCTTAAAAATTTATAAAATGGGGGCTGGGGATTTAGCTCAGCGGCATAAGCGCCTGCCTTGCAAGCAGGCAGTCGTGAGTTCGATCCCTGGTACCGATAAAAAGGAAAAAGACAAAAAAAAAAATTTTATAAAATGCTCAGTGTTCTAGGTAATCAATCACTCTTGTATTATTATATCTTTAAATTCCACCTTAAAAGTAGAAAGTGAGTAGCCAAACTTGCTGGCACACACCTGTAATCCTAGTACTCAGAAGACTGGAGAATCACTGCAAAGAATCATAGGTTGCAGGAGAATCACTGCAAATTGAAGGCTAGTCTAAACTACCAAAGCAAGGTCCTGTCTCTAAAAACAAAGCAAAATGAAACAAATAAAAAAGTACAAAATGAGACTTACCACCTTACGAGTAGATTATTCCATAATAATTGTTTCCAGGAACCTGAGTGAACAATCTACTACATTTCTGGCACTGGAAAATATTTTATTTTAGGTTCCATGGGAGATTTGTCCCTTTTTGTTCAGATACCTAAGTGACTACTTTTTCCTATCTTTGCTAGCAAAAGTTCTTTTTATAACCCAGGTAGATACCTAAATACTTGCTCTTGAAGAATTGTGTATTGTCTACTAGTCATCCTGACTTAAGTTTCCACATAGTCCTTTGTCATCTAGGAATAACGTAACCACATCTACAGTACAAATGTTATTGTGCTTAAAGAACTCATGAGAAAGAAAAAAAGAAGGGATAAAATCAAGAGATTTTCAGCAGCTATTCCACATATTTGGTGACAACTTATCCAAGAGTTGAACAAGCTCAAAACCCTATGTACAATTACAGAAATGAGACAGTGGGCTTTTACAACAGGTTGCAAAGGCTGAACACATTTTAATAACCAGCTTGCTTAGAGTTACCCTCCTGTCAGAGCTGAGGGAGAGTAGAAACTGTAACAGTGATCTCAGAGGATCTCAAAGAGAGGTGTAATAAACACACCAGGGAGCAATGTGAGTATTTTCTGAAGGCCTGACAAGCAGTTGGAAGTAAACTGAGAGGTTGTTACTTTTGGAGAAAGTTCTTTAAGCTTTCATCAAATTGTAATGTTTATAATATATATCTTTGTATTCTTTGGTTGACTTAAGCATCTTCTCATTTTACATTAGCCAAAAGATAATATGGTTTGGGAGAACTACAGAAGTTACTGCATCTCACATCCCAGTTCTCAGCCACTTGGAAGTGGGAATGCCTAACTTCCTCACTTGACTGCAGGGAGCAGCATGGCAGACAAAACCTTACACAGAGAAAAACTCTGTGCTTGACTCTGGCCAAATATCATTATAATTTAAGGAAGAGATGCCTGATCTCTTGCATTAATAAGAAAGGAATGAAATTAAATAAGTAGAAATAGTAGAAAATTTCGTATCTTTGTAGACATTGCTTCAAGGCATGGCTTGCTGTCTTATTGTAACTGTTAGAGATGTGCAGATACAGCTAATGAGTAGGGATGCTGTTGAGCTCTTTTACTAAGTTTTGGCTATATGTGTAGTTTTTAGAAATTTAGATTTAAACAAAATATTTCAAGTTCGTTTCATATAATATTTTCATTTCCCAAGTTTTTCAAAATGTTTATTAGTACATGTTTGCAGTACATAATGGTACACATATATAACACATCTTAATTCTATTCTTATCTGCTTCCTCTACTGTCCCTCCCCTGCCCTCTACCTCCTGGCCCCCTTCTCATTTGTCAAAGACCTGTTGCCTTTTTGTTGTTGTTGTTGTTGTTTTTGAGACAGGATCTTGCTACATAGTTTCGCCTGGATTTAAACTCATTGTGTAATCCAGGCTGATCTCAAACTCACAGTGATCCTTTTGCCTCAGTCTCCTGAGTGCTAGGTGTGATTACAGGCATGACCACCATGCCCAGCTGCCCTGTTTCTTATTATCTTTTATTTTACTCTTTATTTATGTTTTGTGTTTCTCATATGAGAAATCATGCAATATTTAATCTTGTATGTCTGATTTATTTCACTTTATGGCCTCAAGGTACCTCCATTTTCCTACAAATAACTCAAACATATCCTCTCTATAGCAGAGAAATACTCCGTTGTGTATAAATACCTCATTTTCTTTATCCATTCATCTGTCGATGAACATACAGGCTGTCTCCAAGATTTAGTTATTAGGAATTGTACATCTGTAAACAAGGTTATGCATGTTTCAGTTTAATATGATAACTTTAATGCCTTCAGGAAGATGCCTGGAAGGAATAACTGGGTCATATGCAATTTCTAATTCTAGTGTTTTGAGGAATCACTATTCTGATTTTCATAGTAATTGTACTCATTCACATTCCCACCAGCAATTGGAATAAGACGGAATCCATATTAATTTGCATCTCTCTAATGGCCAGAAATGTTGAACATTTTTTCGTGTATTTATTTGCCATTTGTACTTTTTCTGAAAAGTGTCTGTTCTGTTTCAGTTGCCTGATTTTTAACTGATTTCTCGATTCTTCTAATAGGAAAGTGAAAATAAAATGCCGTTTCTCATCTCATAAGAACATTGAGATGTGTGTGAAAGTTCCTCAAATTGTTTGGATAAAAAATAAAAAATACATACGTACATACAGCCGTTGTTTGATTTATGCAGTAGATTGTTTTTATTTAGAATGCACAATCAGTCAGGCATAGTAGCACACACCTGTAATCCCAACACCTGGGAGACTGAGGCAAGATCAATTGTTGTGAGTTTGAAGCTAGCCTGAGCTACCTAGTAAGTTCAAGGTCAACCTAAACTGCATAGTGAAATTCAAAGGAATATACAATCAGAGGTGATAGTATTATTTCTAACTTCAGTCATTCTATATAAAATATTTATTAAAGAACTAAAATGTTGGGGCTGGGGATTTAGCTCAACAGCATAAGCACCTGCCTTGCAAGCAGGCTATTGTGAGTTCGATCCCCGGTACTGATTAAAAAAGAAAAAAAGAAAGAACTAAAATGTAACATTTTAATATATTCTGCATTGCAGTGGGGAAGGAGCTGGATTCACACAGTATCATCATTTACCTTCTAGATATTCACATCCTCAAGCCCATTCTTCTACTTCAGGTAATTCACTTCAAAAACCTAAGAAAATTTATTTCAGGTAGGTTAATTGGGAAATTATTGAGAAGTATAAATAAACAAATGTTTTCTTTTTATGAAAAGTGCCTGTAAGGCTAATTTTGGATAATCTGTTTCTCTATGCTTTTCTTTCTCGTGGTGCTAGAGATCCAGAGCACCGCCTTACATGTCTCACATGTTAGCCAAATGCTCTGCCACTGAACTACATTCCCAGCCTCTGCTACTGTTTCGTATTTATCGACTTGCTTTTGCTGGAGATTAAACCCAAGACCTTGCTCATGCTAAACACATGCTCTACTACTAAGCTATAATCTTAGCCCTACAGTTTTTTTTTAATTTTAAATTTTTGTGTGTGTGTGTGCTGGGTATTCTTCTTTCTTTAGCACTATTAATGAATTGTAAAATGTTGGAAATCTGTTAAATTGTTGACTTCAGTGGCTTTTTCTGTTTTTCATTTGAAGTAGGAATTAGAAGGTCTTCATCTATGTCTTATGTTGATGGCTTCATAGGAACATGGCCCAAAGAGAAAAGGTAAATAAAGAGAATTATTCTTAAGTATATTTACGCTGTCAAGAAATGCCAGTTTTATTTATCTTTTGTTATTAGCTAGGTTTTCATATCTAAACTTTAGATTAGTACTAAATTTTTAACAGGCAGCATAACAGATCAAAGGGGCTAAATTTACAAGGTAGCGAAATAGCCCTAACCTTACCTTGAGGACTATGATTATTAGAAATAGGCAAAGAAAGGAAATACCTCAGATAATTGTTCAGTGATATCTTATAAATCACTTATTTGCTAGGATTACTTAAGGATTTTATCTTTTTTTTTTTTTTAGATCATCAGTGCATGGTGTTTCATTCGATATTTCTTTTGATAAAGAAGACAGTGTACAGAGATCCACTCCAAACCGAGGAATCACACGTTCTATTAGTAATGAAGGGCTTACTCTGAACAACAATCGTTTACCTAAACATATTAGGAAAAATTTGTCCTTTAAGCCAGTAAATGGAGAAGAAGAAGCAGAAAGCATTGAAGAAGAACTTAATGTTGACCCTCACAGTGACCTCAAATCTTACTTGCCCTCAAAACGTAATACAGATGAACTAAATTCTAATGAGAATATGCATTACAAGCTTCCAAATGGAGCTTTACAAAATAGAGTACTTCTAGATGAGTTTGGCAATCAGATTGAAACACCAAGCATTGAAGAGGCATTACAAATAATTCATGATACTGAAAAATCTCCCCGAACACCCCGGCCAGACCAGATTGCTAATGGCTTCTTTCTTCATAGCCAAGAAATGAGTATCTTAAATTCAAATGTCAAGCTAAGTCAATCTAGTCCTGATAACATAACTGATACAAAAGGTGCCTTAAGTCCCATAACTGATACCACAGAAGTAGACACTGGAATTCATGTTCCTTCGGAAGACATTCCTGAAACTATGGATGAAGACTCTTCTTTGAGAGATTATACTGTAAGCTTAGATTCAGACATGGATGATGCATCTAAATTTCTTCAGGATTATGATATAAGAACCAACAACCTCAGAGAAGCTTCAAGTCCTTGTCCAAGCACTATAAGTACTAAGTCTCAGCCAGGTAGCAGTGCTTCTTCTAGTTCTGGGGTTAAGATGACCAGCTTTGCTGAACAGAAATTCAGGAAACTGAATCATACTGATGGAAAAAGTAGTGGAAGCAGTTCTCAAAAAACTACTCCAGAGGGCTCTGAACTTAATATTCCTCATGTGGTTGCTTGGGCACAAATTCCAGAAGAAACAGGCCTTCCACAAGGACGGGACACAACACAGCTGTTGGCGTCTGAAATGGTGCATCTTAGAATGAAGCTAGAAGAAAAGAGGCGTGCTATAGAAGCCCAAAAAAAGAAAATGGAAGCAGCTTTTACCAAACAGAGGCAGAAAATGGGAAGGACAGCATTCCTTACTGTAGTGAAAAAGAAAGGGGATGGGATTTCCCCTCTTCGAGAGGAAGCAGCTGGTGCAGAAGATGAGAAGGTATATACTGATCGAGCAAAAGAAAAGGAATTCCAAAAAACTGATGGACAAAGGAGCAAGTCTCTGGTAGACATAAAAGAAAGTATGGAGAATCCTCCAACCAAATGGCTGAAGTCTCCAACAACACCTGTTGATTCTGAGAAGCAGTGGAACCTCGCAAGCCCCTCAGAAGAGAATTTAAATGAAGGAGAGATTTTAGAATATACAAAATCCATTGAAAAGTTAAATTCATCCCTGCATCTTCTACAACAAGAAATGCAACGCTTGTCCCTTCAGCAGGAGATGTTAATGCAGATGAGGGAGCAGCAGTCTTGGGTGATTTCACCGCCGCAACCCTCTCCACAGAAACAGATCCGAGATTTTAAACCATCCAGGCAGGCAGGCCTGTCATCCACTGTTGCACCATTCTCCTCAGACTCCCCTCGCCCAACTCACCCATCTCCACAGTCTTCTAACAGAAAAAGCACATCTTTTTCTGTTAAAAATCAAAGGACTCCTAGGCCAAATGAACTAAAAATAACACCTTTGAATAGAACCCTGACGCCCCCACGGTCTGTAGACAGTCTTCCTCGCTTAAGGAGATTTTCACCAAGTCAAGTTCCCATTCAGACTCGGTCATTTGTATGTTTTGGGGACGATGGAGAACCTCAGTTAAAGGAATCCAAGCTGAAAGAGGAGGCTAAGAAGGAGGACTTGGAATGTAAAGGGGCTCTAGAACAGCAGGGACATAATCCTCAAGAAAAAGAGATGAAACCTTTTGAGTCAACAGTTTCAGAAGTTCTGTCACAGCCTGTCACAGAGACTGTATGTCTGACACCAGAGGACCAGTTGACTCAACCCACAGAACCACTTCCTAAACCCATTTTTCCACCTGTCACTCCTAAAAATGTTAATCTGATTGAAGTTTCCCTCTCAGATTTGAAACCCCCTGAAAAGGCTGATGTGTCTGTTGAAAAATATGATGGAGAAAGTGATAAAGAACAATTTGATGATGACCAGAAAGTATGCTGTGGATTCTTTTTTAAGGTAATACTAATCTTCATAGTTTGGGGCATCTCTATACGTATGTTGAGTGTGTTTTAAGTCGATATGTTTTATAGTACCAGTTCCTTTTGTTACAGGCTTGCCATTAATGCTAAAATATATTTTGAAGCCCCACTGTAGTATATTGCAATTCTAGCACACTGATAGTAGTAAACCCTTTTATCTTTTATTTCCATAAATGCCTGTTGAAAAATTATTCAGATCTTTTCTAAGAATGATTTGATTCTCTTGCCAATTTATAAACAGCTCATAACTTGATATCATTGTGAGTATGTTAGGTTTTTGACAGTCATTTTTCCTTACACTTTTTTCTTTAAAAAAAAATTTTTTTTTAATTAGCCAGCTAGGATCTTGCAAGGTAAAACATTTTTTTTTAAAGCATATAAGTGGGCTTCATGACGTGTGTCTGTGATCCCAGCGTTCAGGAGGAGGATCACTGTGAATCCAGAGCTTAGAGTACATCATAGTGAGACCTTGTCACCAAAAAAAAAAAGTCATGTAAGGTTAGAAAGTTATCATTGAAATACACTCTATACACATACTTTGTGCATTGCTGGGATCCAGTACAGCCACTGAGCTATACCCACAGCCCCTAAAATAGCTCCTTTAAAAGCATTTGATAAGCTGGGAATGATGGTACACTCCTGTAATCCTAGCATTTGGGAGATTGAGGCAAGAGGATCAAGGCTAGCATGGGCTACACAGTGAGGTCAAAGCCAGCTTAGAATGCACAGTGAGACCCCTGTCTCAAAAGAAAAAAAAAAAGCACTGAATAAAGATCTAGCACATAATTTGTTAATGTTGCCTTTTCTATTTACACTCCAAATTGTGGCACGTTTTTTAATAATCAGAAATACATGTTTTGCTTTAATAATGAACTAAATCTAATCCTGTGTAACTTCACATTTGGAATAAAAATTTTAGTTTTAGTATTAGCATTTTATTTTAGTATTTTTTTTTAGTATTTAATTTAGTATTTTCAAAATACTTAAGCACTTCTGTTGCTAATACAGATATTGAACATTATCGCCTCTTGAAAGTGGAGAGCTTGGAGTTTATCATAGATAACAGAAAAAGTAGAAAAGCCTATAATATTAAAAAATTTTCTACTAGGTTATTGCTAACTTTTTTATGTTTTTTAAAATTTTCCAAATTATATGGGAGAATATGTTTTCCTGTAATTAGAAATGTGGGTTACTCATGTTTTTTTAAAGGCCTAATATTAATAATCCTGTATTGCTTCACAATTTGGAATGTAAATAGAAAACACAGCATCCACCAACACCAGTTTATAATTCAAAATCTTAAATTGTGAAAGAACCAAGAACCAAGTTGATTATACTTGTTAGCTTTACTTTCGATCATTTAGTGCTTGAAATTTATGAAATTTATTTATTTACTTATTTTTGTGCCGGGAATTGAACTCTAAACCTCATGCTTGCCAGGCAGGCGCTTAGGCTGCTGAGCTAAACCTCCAGCCCCCTATAAAATTTATTTTTAATTTGATCTCAGGATGATTACTCTTTATTTTGTCCCTTAGTCGTTTAAATTTTTTTATGGAATGCTGTTATAGACTAATGTATATTTAAGGTTTACTGTCTAATTGTGGAAACATTGGCTACCTCTGTTCCTTCCAGAAAAAGGAAAACAGGAAAAAAAACTTCAATGACACAGGCTATAAATCTTTACCTTCATTTCCCTCCAGATCCTCACCACCCCAAAACTCATCCTGGGTCTATGGGTATAGCTTCCTAACTGGGTCCACTGCCTCTAATCATAGTGTCTCATTTTTAATCCTGTTTACATCCCAAGAGCACAGCTCCAGTTGAGTCTCTAGTAAAAAAGTCTGAAAAGTTACCTACTGAATAAAGTTCTAACTTTTGGCATAACATTTAGGAACTTTCATAGACTAACCTAAACCCATCTGTCCAACCTCTTAACCATAATTTCTGTTTTAGATTGTTGGTTAATACTAATTTCAAACTTCTTTTAAAGCCTTTCTTCTCTCTTCTCCTTTGCATCTTATATCCTAAGACACTCTGGAACTATAGCACCTGTGCCTGTTTTCATTTATTTTGTCTGTTGGACTATGAACTCTTGGAGATATGCTTCTTTTTATCCTCAGGATATAATAAATTATGCATGGTTTGTTAGATATAAATATATTGATGGTGGAACTGATGAATTAAAGGGTATCTTCTGACTTCTCTTTATTCTCCATTAAATCTCTCCCTGGGTCCTATACAAATTTCTTTACCTTTTCCCCTTGTGATTTTTTTTTTTGAAGGGAATAAAACAAAACAATAGCTGGGCATGGTGGCACAAGCCTGTAATCCTAGCACTTGGGAGGCTGAGGCAGGAGAATCATTGTGAATTCAAGACAAGCCTGGGCTACAAAGTGAGCTCAAAGCCAGCCTGAACTGCATCGCAAGACTCTGTCTCAAAAAGAGAAAAAATAAAATAAAATGAAACAAAACAGTGAGAACAACATAGAATTTCAAAAATAAGACAGAAGGAAATCCCCCATAGTCACTATAATGCATATTGTTGTCTTCTAAACTGATGCTCAGACTACTGGCCCCAGGCCTGCAAAGTCAATCAGTCAATACAAGCATTAAGTTGTTTTTGTACTTCAGTTGCTATCATCCCAGCCTATGTTTCTCTGAATCAGCTGACTGCCCACAGGGGAAAAAGGGGAGGCTCATTATCTCCCAGCCCGCACACTGGCTGCATCACAGGAAAGACAAGCTGACTTCTTGATTCTTTTCCTGGCCCCTGGCCTCCACTGTGATTTTTTTAAGCTCCTACTTTTTTTCATATTTGAATATCTATAATCTGTAACTGTACTGTGACTATACTAGACACCATTGAATTAAGCATTGATATGGACAATTGACAAGGCATCATTAAGACAGTTACTTCTGTGTTTTACTTTCGTGAATCTGAAGCATTTTGGAAGCCCCCTAAAAAGTAGCGCTGACCCAAAGGATCAAATAAAAGCTGGACCTGGGCCAGAATAAAAGCTGGGCAAGCCTAGGAGGTCTACAGATTATCAAATGACTTTGGATTAAAATCCCTTTAATAGAGTATAGTTACATCCACCTTCTCTTCAAAGGGAAAACTTTCAGTATAATTCTGAGCCTACCACTTAAAACTCAGTGTATCAGGTTTAAAAAGAGGTAGCAGTAGTTTCATTTATGTGATGTAACATTGAATAGTTTTGGGATGCTTTTTTATGGGTGTTCTTATTGAGCACATGTTAATAAAATGTAAATATAGTTTTAAAGATTGAGGGTTGGCTGGGGTTTTAGTTCAGTCTGCCTAGCACGCACAAGGTTGTGAGTTCAATCCCCGGCACCAAAAAACAAAAAATAAAATAAAGATGAGGGTTAGCCTGGCATGGTGGCACACACCAGTAATCCCAGCACTTGGGAGACAGAGGCCTGAGAATCGCTATGAGTTCAAGGCCAGCCTGGGCTACATAGTGAGTCTCAAGCCCAGCCTGAACCACATAGTGAAACCCTATCTCAAAAAAAAAAAAAAAAAAAAAAATGGTGGATAAGAGCTGGAGATTTAGCTCAGCGGCGTAAGTGCCTGCCTTGCAAGCAGACAATTGTGAGTTCGATCCCCGGTACCGATAAAAAAGAAAAAGACAAAGGAAAAAAAATTGGGGGATAAGTCCTCTAGTTAAAAAATCTTTTATTTCATTAAGTTTAAGTGTCCTCTATTACTTGTTAGAACTGTTTTCCACTTACAGTTCTTTAATAATTTCTGAACCATTTTCACATTTGGTAGGGTTATAAAAGTTCAGATTTTCAGTTATAAGAGTAACTACCAAATGCAACAAGTAAAAATGGTAACATTAGTACCTAAAATGTTCCATACAGTTTCATTAAAATTTTTTTCTTAGGATGATCAAAAAGCAGAGAATGATATGGCAATGAAACGAGCAGCTTTGATGGAGAAACGATTAAGAAGGGAGAAAGAAAGTCAGCTTCGGAAACAGCAGCTGGAAGCAGAAATGGAGCATAGGAAAGAGGAAACAAGGTAAAAGACACTGCTGTGCGAATTCTAAATCGTAGCATTAATGTTGCGCTGGCATATTTAGTAAGTGTGCATCCCCTCTTATCTCCTTCTCTCTCATGGAGCTACATAACCCAGCCCTTTTTATTTTCAGATAGGTCTCACTGCCACAGGCCAGTGGCGCAATGGATAACGCGTCTGGCTACGGATCAGAAGATAGGTCTCACTGTGCTCAAAATTTGGCATCATGTGCCTAGGCCCTTTGAATAGCTGAGATTATAGGCATGTGACTGGTCTCATTACTTTTTATTAACAGATTTTTTTTCCAGAGATATTTATAATATACTAGACATCTGGATCAGTGCTGACTTTTATTTCCTAAAGTATTGCCTGATTTAGCTTGACAAAGATCCCCAGAAACATTAATTTAAAATAACTTCATTGGGAGATATGAATATATAGACTTACATATACATACACATACATGTGACCTGAATTTTCTCAAATACATTTTTCCCCTAAGGTGCTGAAAAATACCCTTTTCACAGCAAAGATTGTGGCTGTTTCTAGTGTCACTGGTCTTTGGTATGCAAAATAAAAATTTCACCATGTGATTTCTTAGGCGTAAAACTGAAGAAGAGCGTCAGAAAAAAGAAGATGAAAAAGCACGCAGAGAATTTATTAGGCAAGAATATATGAGGCGAAAACAACTGAAACTAATGGAAGATATGGATACAGTGATTAAACCCCGTCCTCAGGTGGTAAAACAGAAAAAACAGCGGCCAAAGTCAATTCACAGAGATCATATCGAGTCCCCAAAGACCCCAGTCAAAGGTCCTCCAGGTAACAGCTTCTCGTGGTGGTCTGTTCAGAAACAACACCAGTGTGGTTTGTCAGACTAATTTGATAATGCTTTGATATTGCTAAATTGGATGCTTAGTTTGAGATTGTGCATGGTATTATTTGGAAAACCAAAATGGGAAAAAGAAGGGTTTTTTTTAATGAATTACGTGTATCATACATGCATGCATATATTTAATAGAAAAATGTAAATGTTAAAGGTCTAATTTAAGTAGTTAATTATTAGTGAACTGTCCTCAGATATAATCCCTCTGAATTATCTATCCTTTAATTACTCATAAACTTAGAATTAAAGTTTTATGTATGAAATATTTAAGAAAATATCTCTAGAACAAGGAATATAAGATCAAGAGTTTGCAAGTCTTTCCTGTAGAAATGGTCAAGAATCCAAATTTATAATACCTGGAGTTGAGAGAATACATTTTTTTAACTCACCACACATACTTTTCCTTTAAAACTTTTATTTAAAATGAATGCCATACAGTACTTGCTGGCAAGTGTGAGGTCCTGAGTTTAATTCCCAGTACCCACAAAAAATAAAACAGTAAAAGCCGTAGAACCCAGAGTAGTAGCACACACTCAGAGGCTGAGCCAGGAGATTGGCTACAAGTTCAAGGCCAGCCTGAATTGCATAGCCAGCCTCTGTCTAAAATAAAAATAAAAGAATTCCCATAGAAAATTTCAGAGAATTACCATAGTTACTCTAAACATGAGAGAAAATAGCATTGTTTAAAGAAGAACTCTGTCTTTTCAAGTCAATGAAGCTTTTCTCATCGCTTTTTTTCTTTTTTCTTTTTTTTGGTAGTACAGATGGAGCCCAACAGTGCTCTAGCACAGAGCTGTATCCCCAGCCTTAATTTTTTATTTTGAGACAGAATCTCACTAAGTTGTCTAGACCAGCTTCAAACCTGATGTCCTCCTGCCTCAGCCTGCTGATTTTCTATTTAGGACTCAGATATTACTATATACAGTTTTCTTTCTTGAAGATACCTTATTAGCACTTCATTTTTGTAATAGCAAACTAATTTATCACTGGTTTCTGAAAGTAAGTTCTTTGTTAATTCTAAATATATTATATATATATATATATATATATATATTCATGCACATATATTATGTTTAATTAAAAGTTAGGGAAAAGAAGCTATAGAAGCTCAATTTTCATATTCTGATGTTGTCCAAAGAATAGTTGCTCCTTTTAAATTTCTAATTTTGTTTCATTCAGTATCATAAATTTATTATGTTTTTTTCAGTCTCTAGCCTTTCTTTGGCATCGCTGAACACAGGTGATACTGAGAGTGTTCATTCAGGCAAGAGAACACCAAGGTAAATCCAAAATATAGAAATATTTTCCATGGGGCTGGGGATTTAGCTCAGCGGCATAAGCGTCTGCCTTGTAAAGCAGGCAGTTGTAAGTTCGATCCCCGGTACCAATAAAAAGGAAAAAGACCAAAAAAAAAAAAAAGAAATATTTTCCATAGAAAAGATCGGGCCATTATATGTAATTTAAGTAAATACTCTTCCATGGATTTGTTTTTATATTTTATAATGACTGAATCATAATCATAAATTTGTTTGCTATCTTATGTATAAAGAGATCTGTTGTCTTTTAGAATTTAGAAGTACTAACATTGATGAGATAGTTTTTATAAGCAATAAACTAACAGTAACTGTCCATGAGTAGTTGCTAACATGATTAAGTCATGATGAGTAGAAACAGAAAATTATGTTGTCTACTGTCAGCCTTTCTAGCTTAAAACCTTTTGAATATGAGTTTTCCTCCATTGGAATAATTCCAAAATAGGCTACCTATTTGAATTTAATCTAGAAACTAAAACTCATTTTATTACTTTATATTATAATGCCCATACCAGAAGAGTATGTTTTAGTGATATTCATCGTCTTAAGTTCTAATCTTTATCATTGTGTTGTGCCACTGATTTTTACATGGAAAAACATTGCTTTTTTTCAACAAATATAGGTATTTATAGTGAGAACTTACATATGAAGCTGTACATAAGACAAACATGATCACTATCTTATTTTTAAGATCCTAGGTTGTTTTTGTGAATGTTCTTAAACATATGGTCTGGCCCCAAAGCATTCTTTTCTTTGAAACATAAGAAATAATGTTGTTTACAATTTAGATCAGAGTCTGTAGAAGGTTTCTTGTCTCCAAGTCGCTGTGGCAGTCGAAATGGAGAAAAAGACTGGGAAAATGCATCTACAACTTCTTCCGTGGCTTCTGGGACGGAATATACAGGTTAGTGTCTGTACATTTTAAGGGAAACATTTGAATTTAATACACTAAACAGGATAAAGAAAGTTTATCGACTTGGGGCTGGAGATTTAGCTCAGCGGCATAAGCGCCTGCCTTAAGCAGGCAGTCGTGAGTTGGATCCCCGGTACCAATAAGAAGGAAAAAGACCAAAAAAAAAAAAAAAAACAACTCACCTTTTGATTTAAGCAGTCTCTTAAAAACTGTAAATTCAAATGATCATTTTCAAATAGCTCTGCTTCATCACACTTTTATGAGGTATGATAGAAGTACCGTGTATTTAAATTCTGAAAAAATTGCTAGAGAAAAAGACACATCGTCGTTAATTCCCCCTCAAAATGCTCCCTCTTGATTGAAATACTTATCCCATTGTTCTTGCTACTCTTTATAGCTATTCTGAAAGTCCATTTTCATGAATGTCTTTAGTTGCGGTATCTTGGCTGCCCGTATGTTCTGAATTGATTCAAAACATTTATTTTTCATGGTTGTTCTAACTTTGAGGAAGAGGCAGGTATTGCATAATGTCAGATCTAGTGAATAAGGTAGATGAAAACACACTATAATGTTTTTATGATCTGCCTTTCTATTAAGTGGTCAAGGGCAGCAGCTTTCACTATATTTTTTATCCTACCTCATAAAAACTCATGAAAGAGGATTTCCAAAATGCCTTCAGAAAGTGGCAAGAATGATGGAATAGTGTGTTTGGAGCAAGGAGAGTGTTTTAGGTTTCTTTTGTTGTTGTTGTTTTGTTTTTTTGGTACTGGGGATCGAACTCACAACCTCACACTTGCCAGGCAACCACTTAGCTGCTGAGCTAAATCCTTGGCCCAAGCGGAGCATTTTTAATGTGAACATTTACACTGTATGTTTTGTTTACTCCTTGTGCTTAGGGAATTAGTAACTTTCCCAGATGACTGGAAATAGGTTTCTAAACAGAATTAGTGATGCTACTTACATTCCATCCCTCTACTTCTGTCTTTAAAATTCTGGCCATTTGTGCATAGTAGTTTGAGTCTGAAGAAGTTTTAGAGTTCTGTCAGCAGTACATGGGTTCTCCATACTGTGTAAAGCTCAGAACTCAAGCCTTCTCTCTAGAACTGAGATTTCAGATGTCTTGAATCTGTACTTTTGATAAGTATCAAAGGACTCGAGAAGATAAGGAGAATGCATTGAATTTAGGAGAGTACCTAGCCTCTCACATACGCACCAAGTCCTCTTCCAGCTTCCATTAGGGCATGACTGAAGTAAAAGCAAACTGAAGAAGAGTGTGTAGATAAGAACACTTAAAATATATGAAGCAAGAGAGAAAATGAGAAGAAAGGCGAGCAGCATCCTGAGGAATGGATGGGAAGTTACAGGAGAGCAGCAGAGGGCAAGAGCAGCGGAAGGAGATGGCGGGCCTGCTGCAGCCTGGCAGAGGTGGAAGCCTTGTGGATCGGAGTGGCAAGAGCCCTGCTATGTGCACTTTATTTACTCTGTACTTTTCCCTCACTACGCTAGAGCTTTTAGTATAACCTCCTTCAGCCTGTCTGTCAGCCTTTAAAGTCTTGATTAGATTTGATTTCCCTGTTACTGCTTCTGCTTCTCTGTTCAGCTGAACAACCTGAAAAAGATGAAAACTTTTTTTTTTTTTGGTCTTCTTCAAAGCTTAAATTACTCGTCAGCCCATTCTGCTTTCGTATCAAATTTAGGATTAAGCAGTGTGGCAGTTATGGGAATACCTTTTTCCAGCGCTGCTCTCACAGGGCAGGCTCAGAAAGCCATAGGATTATCCTACAGATGTATCCCTGTGCAGATGAAGCAGTGTTTTGATTTGAATGCCACCAGTAAAAAGGCTTTAACATAGAATTTTGTTTTATATAGCAGTTTCATCAGTGGAAGAGCAATTACATCATTTTAAAATAACATTTCTGGGTGAGAGATTTAGCTCAGTAGCATAAGTGTCTGCCTGGCAAGCCAAGGTCCTGGGTTTAATTCTTGGTACCAAATAACAATAATAATAATAATAATAATAAAATAAAATAGCATTTCTGTCTTAGAGATGTTGGTGTGTTTGTTTGTTTGTTTGTTTTTAATTGTCTTAAATCCTTACCATAGGACCAAAACTCTACAAAGAACCCAGTGCAAAGTCCAATAAGCACATAATACAAAATGCTTTAGCCCATTGCTGTCTGGCCGGAAAAGTAAATGAAGGTCAGAAGAAAAAAATCCTGGAGGTAAGTGTGTTTGCATGAAAGTTAATTTAGCAACATTCTGAAACTGTAGTGATCTTTTTATCAATACCTGAGAAAATATTCTCATAGGCCTAATATTTCAACAGCATGTAAGAGATGTATTATAAAATGTTTTAGTTATTAGATTTAGTTGAATCTCAAGTTGGATTCTGGAAGTCTGCAAATTTAAAAATTAAGAATACACTTTAAAATTTGTCATTAAAATAAGCCTGGGGGATAATAGCTCAGGGCTAGAGTACGGGCTTAGTATATGTGAGGCTCTGGGTTTGAGCCCCAAAACCACCAGAAATAATAAAGATAGCCATTAAAACTTGTCATAAAATTTGACCAAGAAATGTTATACAGTTATATAAATTTTACTCAGCAAAATATATAAGGGTTTTATTGTTATTTTGTTTTGTTTTGTTTTTTTCTATTCTAAAGGAAATGGAGAAATCAGATGCCAACAACTTCTTAATCTTGTTCCGGGATTCAGGCTGCCAATTCAGGTCGTTGTATACTTATTGCCCAGAAACTGAAGAAATCAATAAACTGACTGGGATAGGCCCTAAATCTATCACTAAAAAAATGATTGAGGGACTTTACAAATATAATTCTGACAGGAAACAGTTCAGCCACATACCTGCTAAGACTTTATCTGCCAGTGTTGACGCAATTACCATTCATAGCCATTTATGGCAGACCAAAAGACCAGTAACACCCAAAAAACTTGTACCTACTAAGGCATAGGAGTTGGGAAATACTTGCTTCAGAACATTCATGGTAAATTTGCACTTCATCTTTCCTGCCTGTAGAAAAGCTTTCTAATTGCCAACAAGACTTTTTAATTAAAACTGGACATTAACTCTGTTGTCATGAACAACTGGAATGTAAACCATTGTATTTTGGATTGCAGAAGAGTCTCATTTAGGTGGTAAGTCCAAGTGATGAAAGGAAGTGTTTGATTCCCGAATGGAGATCTATATGTTACTGAATTCATCTGCTTGATACTATATAAGTGAAGTCTTGGATTCTCATGATCAGAAAGGAATAGATGTTGAAATATGGCTAGGATTACAAATTATGTGTTGTATTGGTTGCTTTTTTTTTATCTTTTACTGTACATGTTTGTCCTCAGATCGTTTGTTTTGTTCCCTTTCTCTCCTGAGGGTTTATTCTAAGATACTTTTATATTTTGTTTTATGTAGAGATCATGAAAGTAGGAAATATACCTTCAGAAATAATTTGCACCTTTTTTACAATGTTGAGAAACACTAGTGTTACATTTTACAATAATCTTCATGTTTTAAAGGTATTAGAGCATTTGCAAAATTATTCTAAGTATTTACCATTCTGTATTTATTATTCACACAAGTATTAATATTTCTCTATTAAGAGGTGTTGTAAAGAGCTGCTAGTAGGTTTGCTTTAAACTGTATGAACTTAACCAAGAATATGTTATAAGAATTTGCTGATTAAATCAGTGCTGTTTTTACACCACTTCTGGCCAACTCAGAATAATTTAGATTGTTCTTTTAACAGAAAAGGCTTTCTATCTCTTTTAAAGTAAGTCACTTTATAAGCTGGCAGAAGTAAATGACACTTTGAGAGTAGTCTTTCAGTCTGAAGATGTAAGATTTCCTGAAGCAAATTCTCAGGAGATCTTTACATTATATTTATAACTGACACAAAAATTATATTTAGAATTTTTAAACATGTACAAAGGGCTACATTTTAATTTTAAAATAGCTCCATGTTATTTTACTTATATTGAGTTTTTCTTCTTTTTAATCCTTTTCAAGTGGAACGGCTTAAGTTAAGGACACACTTGAAGTCTCCTCTACATGATCTTTGTTCTTTAACAGTGTATACCAGAGGGTTAGCTGAGGAAAAACTTCATTCTCAGGAAAAGACTTGAATGATTATGTGACCCTGTTATGTTTCAGTGTTGTGACAACTGTGTAAACTAGGGGGGGAAGACAGTATTGTATCATAAATGAGATGCGTAGTTTGTTTTCTTTAATGGGAAGTAGAAATGAAAATACATTTCTCTAATTGAGCTGTTTAGAGAGAGAACTAATGTCTCATATGATGTATTTACTTATTTAAAAAAAATAGGAATGAGATGTCCCTGAGCTGTACTTTTCTATTATAAGGCCTTTAGGCATCAGTGCATCTGGTTTACCAACATTTTCTCAAATGCTGTCAATATTTTACTGTAATTTATGTTCTTATATTTATGTATATTTGTTAAAACTGTAAAAACTTTCACAGATTTTTTTTCCAATACCTGTGCAAGATATATGTGTAGCTCAAAACTATCTGTGATCTGCTGTTCGCATGTGAGAGACCAGGATATGTAACTCTTATATTTTAAGTGTATACATATTATGTATATAATATATAAATATGAAAATGGGGAATTATACATCTTACCTTTCAAATAACAATTTTTATCACAGAAAGGATCATCAAATATGTTTAGATTCTCCTAGTTTATAATAAGTATAAGTAAATTAATCCGAAAGCAAGTAATAGTCAAAGGAAAAATTTAGGCATTTTACATTACTAAATTCTTTCCAGTTAAATTTCCCTTACCAAGGCAATTGTCTTGATATTACCTGGTAATTAAATTTTAAAAATTGGATGTAAGACAATGGAAGAGCTATTGAACCCTAAACAAAACTAACCTTTATTCTTATATTTGTGTTCAGCAATTAAATTGAAATCTGTAAGGTCTAAAGGTACAATGTGACTATTACCACAAAGCTCATTGCTCTCAGTATAATATTTTACTTTATTAATGCAGAAGGAATACGAGATATTCTTTAAGTCTGCAGAGTTTTTATTTTGGTGCAGCTTTTTAAAAATTATGTTTTAAAATTACACAAAAGAAAAAAACATCCCATTTCATAACGTTTGGGGATTTTTTTCAACCTTACTGAAATGCACTGGTGCTTTCATTATTGAAGGTCAAGTTATAATTATTCAATCAAATTTGCCAAACACTTGTCATGGATATCAGTGTAGCCTGTCAAATTCAGCTGTTTGACATGGCTTTGGAAAGCTTTTAATTCCTCTTGGTTTTTCAGTTTTGTTTAGAATGACTGTTACAGTTTTTATTTGGCTGTTTAAAGCCAAAGTTAGCTCTTAATTCTGACTTCATGGACACTGTTGGGCAATGTACAGTGTATGGTATGCGTACCTGTCCACTTTAGAGCATTGCTTACAGGTTTTTTAAAAGATGCTGTGCTGTAAAATATTGTCATATTTGCTATTTCCTGAAACAGTGTAGTTTTTCCCCTTTCATTTGAATAAAAGCATGGCACCAAATGACTCCTGTTTCTTGAATAAAAACTTTTAAACACATTTTAACTTAGGAGAACTTAGTTTTCCTGTTCCTTAACCTAGGTGTAAATTTAACGATTTGAATATTATACGAGGTAATCTTTAATAATAATGGATACCAAATATTTAAGGCAGTGTAAAATATCTGTAACTTCCTCTAGTTATCTCAGATGGTGTCTATATGATATATAAATGTGTGTCCTCCTCTTATATTAATCCTGTCTACATTAATTTACTATATTTTGGTGAATTAATAAATCATACCAGAATACTCTATGCCTTTGAAATTAAGTGGCTAGTGAATTTGCTGATCTCTGTAGTAGCAATGAGGAGCAAGTTCTTGGACATTATTTTGTGAGTTTCACTTTGATTTTGTGAATCTGCTCATTTAGGCCAGAGAAGAAAAACAAAAGGTCTAGTTAAAAAGAACAACCAAAAATCTTTCTTTATGCATACTTATTTATCCAAGGAAGCATCTGATGCTAACATAAGTGTGACTCTCAATCTTGACACATCTGCCTTTTTTGATAGGATACACAAGCTCCCTAACAACTGCCACAGTATTTTCCGATAATTTAATTTTCAGAAATAAAAATATTTAAAGCCCAGACGTGTTAGAGAAGTAGATAAAAGCCATGGTTCCCTCAAGCCCACACATAACTTAAGGGTGCTTTTCTGGACCTGGTTAACTGATGGGTCTCAACTAGGACAGAGGACAATACTCACAATGAAGAGGAACATACATCTTTATTTTGTAACCTGCTTAGGCAGAGGTTATAAAGAAGAAAATCAAGCAAAGAAAACACAGCTGTAATGTTGTGACCTAGGAACCAGGAATTGGAAAAAAAAAACATGTCTAGAAAATGAATGTGAAATCCCTTAGAAATACATAGATTCTCTGAAATGCATCTGTATCTTCTTTTTTTTTTTTTTTTTTCCTTCCTTTTTTTGCAGGCCAGTAACACTGGCTTTTTTTTTTTTCTATCATCAGTACTGGGGATCAAACTCACGACCGCATACTTGCAAGGCAAGTGCTTATGCCGCTGAGCTAAATCCCCAGCCCCAGGATCTGTATCTTCTTAAATGGCAGTTTTGACTTTTGAAAGAAACAGGTGAGAGATTAATGATTCTGTATAATTTGATGGAGCATGGTGTTCGTGCACAGGTTGGTATTGTCAGAGTTGCTCTTGAGGTAAGGAAATCTAGAATCTAGTTTTGTTCATCTCCTTTTTTGCATCTTTGAGCCTTCTGGTACTCCAATATTCCAAAGCCAGATTCTTAGACAACAAACATCAGTTTTTTAAATGCACTAAGTATCATTGTGGTAGTCACAACTAAAATCTCCATTTTCGAGGTAGGAGATGATTTCCATTGACAAGAATAAATGCAAATGAATTAAAAAATATTTAACATGTTATACAAATGATGACTAGCCTTCTGGTATATTGTGTCGTTCTTAACCACAGTCCATCGTTCAGGTGGTTTAAAGTGCGACTTCCTTCAGTTAGTGTGAGAGGCGTCACAGAGCCTCAGGACACATGGTGGGTACAGCGCATCCAGTTCATAGTTTCATTCCGCTGCAGTGATTCCTTGCCCTTCCCGATTTATATTTAAAGTGTTACACATTTTCATGAAAAGATACTGTGGTTTTCAACCCCAAAATAGGAACTATCCACTTAAAAATACAATTTAAGTTTATTTAACTTGCTTTCTCCTTTAACTTACCACTGCCTGTGAAGATGTTTGAGCATTTGCATCTCCACTTCACAGGTAAAGATGATGAGGCTTATATCCAGGGGCTCAAGGCTCACAAGTGGCAGCGTCATAACTGGAGTCCACATTTGATTTAGCCTCTCTCCACTGACCTATGTGGTACGGTTTCCCACTGCAGTGTAGATATTGAAGAATAAAACTTACAGTAAGTCTCATAATTGGACTGGTTAGTAACATATTCACCATTGATGGAAAACTGGTTGTAGTTAAAGTCGATTTGGGGGCCAGGGATTTAGCTCAGTAGCATAAGCACTTGCCTAGCAAGCACAATGTCATGAGTTTGATCCCTGGTACAAAAAAAATAAAGTTGATTTGGGCCTATGGCTCAACCAGTATCAGTACACACTGGCTAAAATCAGACTGGGTACTCACCTACACTTGAACATCCAAAACTCATGACAGAAGAATGGAGAAATTACAAATGTGATAAAAATAATTCTGATAGTAGGTTGATCACATTTATGCAGAAAGTTATTAGCTGCAGAGACCTAGCTGGGTCACAAAGAGTCTTTTCCACTAAGAAATTCAGTATCTTGAGGTGGACGCCATTAAACCTTTACAAACAGTTCTATAATGTGCTACAATAGAGGTAAGGACCAAAAGGAAAGGGCAGGTAAGGCCTGTCTTATTAACAGTAAGGCCTTTCTTGTTCAACAAGAAGTTTGTGTACTACTAGATTGTCTGTGTCATTCTCTGTCTCTATCTTTATCTCTATTTCTGTCTCTCTCTTTTTGATCCTTGAGACAAGGTATTGCTCAGCCTGTAGCCCAGCTGGCCTCAAACTCACAATCCTGCCTCAACCTGCTTCTGAAAGCTGGGATTACAGGTGTGTGTCACCATGCCCAGCTCTAGGTCCTCTTATTAAAACTGCATTTATCGGGGACTGGTAATTTAGCTCAGCGGCATAAGCACCTGCCTTGCAAGCAGGCGGTCGTGAGTTCGATCCCCGATACTGATGAAAAGGAAAAAGAAAAAAAAAAAAAGTAGGAAAAAAAATTGCATTTATCAAGAAACATCAGAGTGCCAGGTGTGGTGGCACACATTTGTGATCCTGGCTGCTCAAAAAACTGAGGCAGGGGGGCTGGGGATTTAGCTCAGCGGCATAAGCACCTGCCTTGCAAGCAGGCGGTCGTGAGTTCGATCCTTGGTACCGATAAAAATGAAAAAGACAAAAAAAAAAAAATTAAAAAAAAAAAAAACTGAGGCAGGAGGATCAGATCTTCTGAGCTATTAAGTGAGACCCTGTCTCTATGTAAAAAATTCAATTGGATCAGTGTGGTGGCACATGCCTGTAATCCCAGCACTTGAGAGGCAGAGGCAGGAGGATCATTGCAAATTCAAGACCAGCCTGGGTTACAAAGTGAGCTCAAAGCCAGCCCGAGACCCTGTCTCAAAAAGACAAAAAAAAAGGACTTGGAATGTAACTCGGTGTCCTCACCTTTGCCTAGCATGCTTGAAGCCCTAGACTCATTCACCAGCACCATAAAACAAAAACAGAACAAAGCTTATCTTACACTCTCAGCCAATGGGTTGTTACATCCTAGTTTTTTTTTTTTTTTTTTCCAAAATGTCTTGGGCCATTGGAGACATCATCTCTTTATTAACATTGGGCAAAGCTGTTAGTATACCACATCCTCTTTACACGATACAAAAGCAGCAGACAGCAGTCTCATTGGAGGGCTGATGGGGGACACTTTAGAAGACTAGATTTCATACATGTTAGGATATAAGTTTGTACTTGGGCTCTTTATCCTTAACAGTCACTGCCCCAAAACAATATGGTAGATAGTTAATGAGCAGTTCTCAAATGAATACAGGAAAGCAAAAATACCCAGATAAGAATTCAGATCCAAAATTTGGCATGAATCATAATGTCCTACTGCGTAGTTTTACCCCCAAGAGACAAAGCCTTACGTTGGCTTTTTCTTGCCCATACTTAGCTTTCTGTGGGGCCCAGGAGTGACTTGAAAATCTTACCCACTGATCACCAGACACACAGGGACTTTCATTTCACCTACTTTCTGGTCCATCCCTCCGAAATCACGGGCTAGGGTCAGCACTCTGTCTGCTGCATGCTCTGTCCCACCTCTCCCACCCCAAGGAGGCCTTAGCCTCAGGCTTTCACTGTCTCCTCCACACAGTCACCTCCTCTTGCCTGAAAGCTCTCCTGGCCTCACCCACCCATCCAGTTATCTCCTGAAGGCCCCTTATCTTGAGCTCACTCATTTAGAAACCAAACATTGACTTCCTAGCAAAGTCAGCTCCCCTTCCGGACAGCCACAAAGGCTGAACCCTTCGGGGCCTTGTTTTACTTTCCTCTCTGACCAACACAGGAGGATATCAGGCCCCCACTGGCACCAGTCTTGTGTCCAGTCACTAACAGCTCATGCATAGCTCTGCAGAGCCGGCAGCAGTCTTTCCCTGATCCCATTCTTCCCTCTATACTGTCACTACCCTGCAAATGTGATTCATCCTATCTTACTAGTCAAAAATTCCCTGGCACTTTATCAGCATAGAACTCTTAACTCCTGAGATCAGTATTCAAAGCCCTCAAAACGTATCTCAAATTACCTCAACACTGCCAGCAGCAACACTGAGAAAAGTATGACATTCCAAGATACCAATCTAATGGGAAAAAAATCAAACTAAGCACTTCGCTGTTATTTTGACTTTGAGGGAGAACTAGGATGAGCTGAGGTGGGCTGATCTTTTCAGACACTGGGACCATTGAAGACTTTGCGTCCTACTGTTCAGGCTGCTCCTGTTCACAGACGTCTTCAGAAAGGCTGGCCTGCTTCAGCCTTGTGACAGAGCAGGCTGTCAGCATTATATCAAGATTTTTTGTGTATGACAGCTCATCTTCTGCACATGAGCTGCTTGTCAGGAACCACAGAGGCACATTCCTGTGTCTTACATTCCCTGATGTGGTGCTTGCCCAGCAGCAGGAAGGAACTGTTTACAAAATCAGATGACCTTAAAGAAATGGTTTCACCAAGCACAGGTAGGATCTGCTTCTGAGGGGAGAACCTCCTTCCACCAATGCTGAGACCGCTGCAGATAACTAGGAATTTACGCAAAACTTCTGTAAAATCATTGAAAAGTAGTGACAAATCCTAGTACTGAAGCTCCTGTGGAAAATGTCACTTCTGGGGCTGGGGATTTAGCTTAGCAGCATAAATGCCTGCCTTGCAAGCAGGCAGTCGTGAGTTCGATCCTTGGTACCGATAAAAAAGGAAAAAGACAAAAAAAGAAAATGTCACTCCTTTCCAAACAAATTCTAAGGCCATTTTCTGAAGAGCTTGTTTTTTTATCTCAAGCTGCAGAAACTTGAAATGGAAAAAAATGAGTCTTACTTACCTTGAAAGCTGCAGTTTCTGGGCCTGACCCTCCCCATGTGCTGCAGGGCACTTAGGATGTCCGGGGTAGAGCTGGCCCTGGGATAATCACAGCCGCGGGCTGCAAGGCTTTCACATTGAGTCATCCCCTCAGTGCTGTGGGCTGAAGCCCAGTGCTCATGTCTAACTTAGATGGTATTCTTTCCCAGCTACCCCATATTTAGTACCTGAAAGTTTCTAATTACTGAACATCTGAAGTATTCTTCAGAACCTCTGGGATCTAGGGTGGGGCCCCTTTGCTGGTATATGCCAGTCATCCCTCAGGTGCCAGGACCAGAGAGCTACTGCTGTCTTCTGTGCCCTGCACACCCTCATAGCGGCTGTCCCCCAAATACACACACACAAGGTCTTAGGGTCCTGGTTTTTGGGACCATCTTAGTACCCGGTCAGCAATAATAAAACAGATTCTCCTTTCCTGGTTTAATCCATATCAGGAACAGGAGAACACAAGGAGACACACCTTTCTTGGTTTTCCTTCCTCAGTTACTGTTAATCTTCCTGCCAACCATAGCTGGCTGGCAGAGTGGCATCTGTCTGTAAATCCTACCAATAGTTTCTACAGCATGCAATCTGCCACGCTGTAAAGTTCACCATCAGAGTTAATACCAGAAACTGGTGGGCAAGTCTAAAAGATCCTCCACATGAGGATTCTCTCTGTTGATCTCCAGAACACTTACTACACACCCACTATGTGCAAAGAGAGCCCTATGTCCCTTAAACAAGGAGAAAAACAGCAGCGGGACAGCCAAAAACAAGAGCTGGCCCGTGTGATGCCACCCTCCATGGCGGGGTGGTGGTGGTGGTGGTGTGAAGCAGACTCCGTGTGTTCAGACCCAGCTCAGGAGGGGTCCCACAGGGCCTGTCGCATTCATCTTCACAGCCCACCTCACCCGTGAGATGGATGTCATGCCCTTGTCAGGATATCATAAGGACCCAAGATCACACAGCTCTCAGTGACAAAGCTGATGCTAAAGCCTGACTCTCAACACTGACCTGATCTGTTCTGTTGATGAGAAGCACAGTGACATGGAAGAGATCTGTGTAGGGAAGGACATCACAACACAACGCAGAGGGTTTTAGAGGATGTATTTTAAACTTAATCTACTAGGAAAGCAGAACTGGAATCTGAAAAAAATACACATTAGGTGGATTAAAGGCAGTTAACAGTAGAACCGAATGGACTCATCAAAGAGAAAGTAAAATTGTAAACTTAGAAATTAATAAGAAATTTGACTGCATGAAACTATAAAACAATAAAAATAGCTAAGGTGCAGTTTAAAAAATATTTGAATCAAACAGGATGGTGATTTCTCCTAAGTAGTATGAGATACTGTTTATCTTATAGTGCTTAACAGTATAGTAGATGAATGTGTGACGCACATGATTACATGGTTCACATTATGTGAGGAAGTACATATAGCAAGGTTTTTCATCTTAAATGCAGATTAAAATGATATACCATTCTACCTTATTACCTATTAAAATGAAATGTCTATCTACAACAGTCCATTAACTCAATTCTCTCCATGATTCTTTACAAACCGAACTAGAGGAGAACTGAATCTAATTTCCCCATAAGGTCAACATTGAGTCTAACCATTAAATTTGATTTGAGTTATATATATTATACATATTGCTGATGACTATATCTAACAAGACTGCATTGAGTCGAATACCCTCAGAAAATGCCAGTAACATTTTGAATTACTAATAACTGTAAACATTTGTCTCAATGAAATTTTTCATAGCCTTTGAGCTACCCACAGATAATTATCCTGTGACATGTGAAAGAACAAAAATGTGTACGTTCATTTATTTATTACAAATATTTATAACAGTTAAAAATAGTTAGCTGCTGCCAGCCATGGTGGTGCGTGCCTGTAATCCCAGCACTCAGGAGGCTGAGGCAAGAGGATCAGCCAGCCTAGCCCAACCTAGGCTACGTAATGAGATCAGTCTCAAAAAATCAAATGAAATACTAGAAGCAACCTAAATGTCCAAATTTAAGTGTTTAAAAAACAGAAACGTGCATTTATGTGGCATAGATTGAGAATCATAGACCATAAAGCTGTGAACATTCTAATTACAAGTATGACTGAAACATCATGAAAAAATGCACATATGAAGACTGTCTGACATGGAATGTGAAAAGAGAAAAATCCAAGAATAGTGAGATTATAAGCGGATCATAACTTTTTTTTTTTTTTTTTTTTTTTTACCGGTACCAGGGATCGAACTCAGGACTGCCTGCTTACAAGGCAGAGACTTAGGCCGCTGAGCTAAATCCCCAGCCCCAATCATAACTTTTAAAAACATCTGGCTGGAAAGAAATTCATCAACATGTTAGGTACAGTTATGTTGACGTTCCAGACCTGGAGTATCCTTTCTTCTATGTTCTGCCATGTAACGCTATGGATTTTATGATAAAAAAGAAAAATACAATTTTTAAAAACATACTAAAGGTTAATCTTATTGGTACAGAAAACAACTTACTATTGGGGGAAAACATTGTACGAACCTAAATTCAGGCCAGGCAAGGCAGAAATCAAGCTACTCCCAAAAGCAACTGATCAGAGTATTGGGTATTAATTCACTGTGACAATCACAATGATAGATAGAGAAGCTCTCTCACCCCAAAGAGACCCTAAATCCGTTAGCTGGGCAAGACTGACCCACAGAACAGTCAGAACAGTGGCTCTAGCAGTGCAGAGAGTGGAAAGCCTTCAAGGGTGAGGAGAAAGGGCAGAGGACTTGTGCTTAGCTTCCGCAAGTGACCAGGACTCTCAGCCAAGAAAGACAAATGTGTCTTTTAGGTAACTCACTTAGAACCCTACCTGAGGAGCAGAAGAGAAAGCAGTACTGCAGACCTGGCCTTGGTCACTAAACCAGGCAGGCACCCCAGGAGGACACCTCAGGGTAGTGTCCCAGCTCTGGTCTTTGGATGCTTTCCCCCATCCACACAAGTTCAGTCAGGCTCACTGAGCGTAGGCCCCAGCAGAGTAAACTCTTGGCCACAGACAGCCCAGGAAGCAAGAATCTCAGTGTTTTTAAAATAAACAACCTACTTCTACTTCCCCTCAACCCCCTCTCTAATTCCCCTCTTGGGCCACTCACCCCACTCTGCTTTTTCACCTGTGGTTTCTTTGCTGTTCATCTCGAGGTTTCAAGATCATTCATTCTTTCGGAGTCCCAGACTGAGGTAGATCTGAGGCCTGAGGCAAAGGGAAGTCCAGCAGCACTGGGCCTGTCCCTGAGTATCCTGGCACTGTCCTGCTAGCCTTCCAGAAAAGGAAGCTGTGGCCCCCTAGGCCAGGGGAACTGCTCCTCAGGTTTCTCTGCGCTTGGAGGATGGGGGAGGGGGTCTTAGAGAAATCCACGCCTGTAGGCTGGAATAGCCAGTCACAGGTCCGGAAGCTACTAGATAGGTGATGGGATGGGCAGACAATCTTTTCTGGGGATTTTTTTCTTTTCTTTTTTTTTTTTTTTTTTTTTTTTTTTTTTTGTACCAGGAATTACTATGGACCTCAGGCTTACCAGGCAAGCGCTACGCCACTGAGCTGTATCCCGGCCCCAGGTGCTGAGGATTTTGAACCCAGGGCTCATACATGCTAGGCAAGCTCTTTACCACTCAGCTACAGCCCCAGCCCTGGCTTTCTTTTGCCTGCCTTTCCTCAGCTTGTACCTGTTGTGGGAGAAAAACGTTTGACAGGAGCAGCCTCAATACATGCATACCCAGCCCTCCATGAGCTTAAAACAATTTTCCAACTCAGAAAGCTCCACAGACCAGAGGGACCTCAACCTCAGGCTTATGGTGTCCCAGTTGAATTATGATAGTCTCGTTCACTCAGAAGTATCGTGGTTCAGATCATAAATCCATAAATTCCTCATCTTACCTCAAACTGACATCAAGCTGAACACACACATGCCCCTCTGTGTCCCTGACCTCAAGGAAGAGGACGGCATCCACACTGTCCCTCTGCAGAGAAGGCCCAAACCTACCTCTCTGCAGAGGCCTGTGATGCTAGATGTACCTCTTGAGTAGCTCCTCTCCTTTTGTTCCCTACGGTCAGTGATCTGATTCACACACAAATATTTCTAACAGCTTCCTCTGAGGCCTCCCTGGATTGAACCTTCTCCTTCTCCAATCCACGATTCTCCCAGTGATTTTTTCTTTTCAAGACACAGACTGGATCCAGTGGCTCTCCGCTCCCTGTGAAATGGAAACCAAGCCCCTTCAGGTACTATGCCTGCTTCATCCCCTGCTCCCCTCCTCCTATGTCACACTTATCTCCGGATGGTTGTTCCTTCTACCTCCTCCTCCTCCTCCTCCTTCTTCTCCTCCTCCTCCTCTTTTTGACCATTAACTCCATCCTGGAACAGACCTGCAACTTCATCACCTAGGAAGTCTTTGTTTCTTCATTCCTCCCATCAGAAATAATTGCTCCCTCTTCTAAGCTCTAAGAGGTCTTTGGTTTTAATACACATTATAGTTAATGGTCCTATGTGTGTCTCCTGCTGCAGCAATGACTCTGTGAGGTCAGGAACACTTCTCAGTGCCTCCAACTGTGCCTGCTGCATAGAGGAGCTCACTTTTAACGGGACAGAAGCAAATAAAATTGATAACACCAGATGTTCAATACCAGGTTGCCCAGTGCATCAGTTACTCAGTCCTGGTGACAGTGGAAGAGGGACAACCCTGTAACATTAGTTCCAACGTAGCATCTCAGGTAAGGGATGTCTTCTAAGAGGAATTCGCAGGGAACTGGGTGCCCCTCCTTTTTCTCACCTGTCCTGTCCTCTTCAGATCCTGTCACCCCAAGGTCATATTTCATGAACCCTTTCCTTGCTCTCAGCCCCTTTTAGCTCCCATCTCATCATCAGGTGAGTCCACTGTCACATTAAATGCCGTCTTTTGTACTGAGCTTATACCTGTTTGATGTCACAGGTAGGGTGAAGAACGGTACAGATTTGAATCCCAGGCTCTGTCCCTTTCCAGCAGAATAATGTGACTGCACCCCTCCTGTCTAGCTTCAAACCCTTCCACCCTGCTCCATGGGGATTGGTCAGAAAAGACGCTCAGAATTAAGACATTTAGTCTTCCATTTCAGACGGTTAACAACGATGAAGGAGCTAGATGCCCGCAGGCAGGCTCCCCACTTCTCCAGGTCCTGCTGTGTACCAAATAGCTGAACCCCTGCTTTCTAGAGAACAGGTGACCAGGAAAGAAACACCTCTCCCGACCAAAAAAAAAAAAAAAAAAAACAACCCTCATCCCTCTCCTGGCCTCCACAAGGAAAGAAATCAGCATCAATGAGAACCAAGAACAGATTAGGGCTCAGGGGCCAGCACCTCCTGCAACCTAACATTAGGCCCCAGATAACGGGGCAAGTACCCCGATTCCATAAGCGAAGAAACTTAATTACTAACAGCTAAGTGACTGCCATCTCTGACTGATGCTGGAGGGCAGGACAGTCCTCCCAGCCCTGAGAACTTTGCCTGCCAGGACTGGGCTGCGAAGCTACCCCTACCCCGCCTCACCCTTCCCCCTCGACCAGAGCCAATTCTGAGGCCACCTCTCCACCACACGAGCCTGCCCCTCCCGGCCCACGCCCTCCCCCCCCCTTCCTGCCCACCCATCACCTCGGGGCCCCGCGGGCAGGAAGGGAGGTGCTGGGCACCTGCCGTGAAGGGCAGGCTCTGCTGAGAGTTGAGCCTCTGCGTCCGCACGGTCCTCAGCGTGGTCCGGCCATGGTCGCCACGGAGCCCTGGAGCCTCCTCCCCGGAACCGAGTTCTGGGACTACTCGGGCTCGGGCGTCCTAGGGGACGAGCTGGAGTCGTGCCCGTCGTGGGAGCTGCCCTACAGCTACGCCTACGTCCCCGCGCTCTACCTGGCGGCCTTCAGCGTGGGGCTGCTGGGCAACACCTTCGTGGTGTGGCTGCTGGCCGGGCGGCGCGGGCCGCGGCGGCTGGTGGACACCTTCGTGCTGCACCTGGCGGCCGCCGACCTGGGCTTCGTGCTCACGCTGCCGCTGTGGGCGGCGGCGGCGGCCCGGGGCGGCCGCTGGCCCTTCGGCGCGGGGCTCTGCAAGCTCAGCAGCTTCGCGCTGGCGGGCACGCGCTGCGCGGGCGCGCTCCTGCTGGCCGGCCTGAGCGTGGACCGCTACCTGGCCGTGGTGAAGCTGCTCGAGGCGCGGCCGCTGCGCACCCCGCGCTGCGCGCTGGCCACGTGCTGCGGCGTCTGGGCCGTGGCGCTGCTGGCCGGCCTGCCCTCCTTGGTCTTCCGCGGGCTGCAGCCCTTCCCCGAGGGCCCGGGCAGCCAGTGCGGAGAGGAGCCGTCCGACGCCTTCCAGGCCATCAGCCTGCTGCTGCTGCTGCTCACCTTCGTGCTGCCGCTGGCCGTCACGGTCTTCTGCTACTGGCGCATCTCGCGCCGCCTGCGCAAGCCGCCGCATGTGGGCCGGGCCCGGAGGAACTCGCTGCGCATCATCTTCGCCGTCGTGGGCACCTTCGTGGGCTCCTGGCTGCCGCTCAGCGCCCTGCGGGCCGTCTTCCACCTGGCGCGCCTGGGGGCGCTGCCGCTGCCCTGCCCCCTGGTGCTGGCGCTGCGCTGGGGTCTCACGGTCGCCACCTGCCTGGCCTTCGTCCACAGCTGCGCGAACCCGCTCATCTACCTGCTCCTGGACCGCTCGTTCCGCGCGCGGGCGCTGCAGCGGGTCTGTGCGCATGCCGGCCGCCAGGTGCCCAGGATCAGCTCGGCCTCCTCGCTCTCCAGGGATGACGACTCTGTGTTCTGGGGGCGACGGCAGAGCCCGAACACTGCCTCGGCCTCCTGGTAGCCTCACCTGGGCCGATCTGAGAGGAAGACTCGGATCCCTCAAAGGTCTGCTTGGCTAACTTTCTCGAGAGCTCCTCCATCAGTGTCCCCAGAACCTCAGAGTTGTTCGTACCCATCTCCATCCCCACCTCCGCCCCAAACCGCATTGCTGAGCTACTTTTGTCTAGTTGGAGTCCTCATGAGACGGAACAGATAGTAGCCTCACGGGTCACCGAGCTGGGACAGGGAAGTGGATTTCCTGCTCTGCCCCATTCAGCATAGGACCAAAACAATCATCCAGCCCAGATTCCCGAAAGCCCCTGCTGTCTCTGGCTATGGTTTCTGGTTCCATGTAATAGTCTTTGCCCTCTGAGAAATTCCTGCTGCAAACCAATAGCAAAATGAATGGGAGAAGAACTATCTGATACAAATGTTTGAGATTAGTGTTTGCTGATTGATTTTTCTTTTGAAGTTTCTGCAAGGTTTGGAAATTCTCTCCTTACACTTTTGACCCAAGAGGATTACTAGCCTGTTTCATGAGCAAAAAATTTCTACACAACATGAGAATCGACAGATCTTTTGTACACAGTGCTCTTTGTCACCACGTAGGCTTCATTATTAATCATCATTAATTCAGATTTCATTTTCTTCTTTTTTCCGGTACTGGGATCCAACTCACAACCGCCTGCTTGCAAGGCAGGTGCTTATGCCGCTGAGCTAAATCCCCAGCCCCTCAGATTTCATTTTCAAACTTCCCCAAAGACATGGGGATCAGCCACAATGGGCCGCCCAATTCGTTTCGTCTGATGGGTGCCACAAAAGGAACACCCTGCCGTGATTTTGGATCTGGCGATCCTCCCCACTCAGCATCTCCAACCTCCATCTTGCTCCTACCCCCAGTATGGCAAAGCTGCAGGATTCACCCTGGAAATCATGGTCCTTCCTTCAATCTCTCACCTGGCCTTCGGATTCCCCATTATTCAGCCAAGGACCCCAGATTCTTACCTGGGAGCTCATTCTTCTCAATAAACACTTTGGTAGAGCTTGTGTGATGACTGTGTCTTTAGTTGAGCAGTGGGATTGAAATGAATGTCAGGAAGCCAGCCGCAGGCTCAGTCAGACAAGACTCAATCCAGGAGCTGAGGCTGACCTCAGGGTGATGAGGCTTTGTGTGATGTTGGCCGTGAGAGCCAGCTGTGTCTGGGTGGGTTCAGCAGTTCCCCGGGAGGGCAGCAAATTGTTTATTCATATTATTTCTGAGGGCATTTCACATTCTGAAGGTTACAGAATGGAAAAAAAAACCTGTAAGGGCCTTCTAGGTGCCACTTCAAAGGGGAGAGGTGCCATTTTGTTTCTCAGATGTGTATCTGTTTTTTTTTTTTTTTTTTTCCTACCCCTTGGGATAACTTCTGGGCGATACAAATGTTTGACATTAGCGTTTGCTGACTGACTTTTCCACTGATAATTCTGGAAGGTTTGGAAATTCTCTCCTAACACTTCTGACCCAAGAGGATTGAACCCAAAGACATTTTGGTTGGTGCAGGGGAAGGGACTCTGATTCTACTGTTCTTCAGAACCATGTCCTGGGCAAGCCCCACAGGTGGGCATGAAGCACAGGTTTGGGAGAAGTCCCCACAGATCAGCTTCTGTGCACTAGTATGCCATGCAGCGAATACCATTGCAGTCTCTTCAGCATCTGGGGTGTTAGGTTGGAACAGGATGAGTAGCACAGCCTATCTTGACCCCACCTAGACCAGGCTATCAAAAAGTACGTTGGTTTGGGGCTGGGGATTTAGCTCAGCGGCATAAGCGCCTGCCTTGCAAGTGTGCAGTCGTGAGTTCGATCCCTGGCCAATAAAAACGAAAAAGACAAAAAAAAAAAAAAAAAAAAGTACGTTTGTTCAGGCTGTCCTGTCTAAAAGAAACAAGCCTAGCAACCAGATGAATTTCTGACCCTTGCATGTTGGAAGACTCAGTTATGTCACAGCCCTTCTCATTCTCACTGTTGCTACCTGACACAAGAAGTTACTTGCTTCCTATGGAAGGGGGCCTCAGACCTTCTAGATTAGAAAGACTGTCCCTTATCTGGGTGTATGAGAAGATCTCAACTTCCAGAGAAAGTTTCTTTCAGCTGTTGGGCCCAAGTTCCTACCTCTACACCTGCCAAGTTGTTCGAACTTACTAATGGAACAGGATAGGAAGGAAGCTTCCCCATACGTGAGGGTTTTCATCTCATCCTGCAGTAGTTAGGAATCCCAGCACTTCCCTCCTGCCAAAGAAGGCTAGTTATGGAGAGAACTTCCTTCCCTTTGAGAAGATTATTGAATTTATCCATCTTGAGTCTCTTGCAAATGTTTTCTCTCTCTGTCTCTCTGTCTCTGTCTCTCTCTCTCTCTCTCTCTGTGTCTCTTTTTCTCTTGTGGTACCAGGAATTGAACTCAGGACCTCACAATTGCCAGGCAGGTGCTGGGCCACTGAGCTAAATCCCCCAGTCCCAGAAATGTTCTCATATACTCAGATGAGACCAAGCTGCCATTTCCCACTTGAAAGGTATAGATGCAAGAACTAGCTAAGTCAGCATTTCCTCCTCTGCTACTGATGGGAGTACACACAGTAGATTATTTTAGAATTTAGCAATTACTCAATCTACATCAAAAACTTTAAAAATGCTCATGTCCCATTGGGTGTGGTGGTACAGTCCTTAATAATCCCAGCTACTCAGGAGACTAAGACAAGAGCATCACAATTCAAGGCCAAACTGGGTGGCTTAGTGAGACCCTGTCTCTAATTAAAAAGGGATGGTGACAGGGGCTGGGGATTTAGCTCAGTGGCTTAAGCACCTGTCTGGCAAGAGTGAGGTCATGAGTTCGATCCCCGGCACCAAAAAACACAAAGGGCTGGTGATATAGCTCAGCTCTCCCTGGGTTTGATCCTCAGGACTGAGGGAAAAAAGAAAGAAACAGAAAAATTGTTTATATCCAGTTCCTCCCTTGAACCTTTGTGCCTTTGGAACCTGTAATTTTGATGTAGAAAAATATAACTCCCAATCTGTTAGATGTTAGGGGTACCAAGTTCATGGGCTCACAATATGGAGACCAAGTCAAGAACCAAAGGCGAAAGTTAAGAGGTTTTGGTTTTATTGGTTCTGTTCTTTACTGTTTTTTTCAATTTTATTTTAACTGATGATATAGGCAATTCTTTTTAAGATAGCAAGAGGCATTATGGTAACCAATGTTGATCACCTTGTATTTTGTTTTTACAGTATGTATTATGTCCATCCTTTTGATTTGACTGACTCTGTTTTGTTATGTCACATTTGGTTTTATTCTCTTCAAAAAAAGTAATAAGAACTGTGGGAGTAATAAAACCCAAAATGTGTAATTGTCATTGTACAAAAGAGAGGAAAAGAAAGTGCTCTAAAGGATATAACTGCAGGTATATTTAAGTGTATAAGATAGATAACCATATTACTGAGTTTTGTTGGATCATTGAACAGAACTGTTTGCAGTCTGTTTGAATGTCCACTTTATATGCTTTAATTTTGTAACTTGAACAACTATTTCTAAGATGACAATATGTAATCTATTAACTAGTGATTTCCTGTTTATTTTTTCTGAAATTCTGTATAACTTGTACCCTTTTTCTGTTTTTTTTTTCTTTTTCTCCTTAAATAAAATTTTAAAAAAACAGTTAAAAAAAAAAAGAGAGAGAGTTTGATTGGAAATAAAGGGAAGAAAAGAAGCTCCTGGCTGGGCGTGGTGGCTCATGCCTGTAATCCCAGCACCCAGGAGGCTGAGGCAGGAGGATCGTTGAGTTCGAGACCAACCTAGGCTACAAAGTGAGCTCAAGGCCAGCCTGAACTGCATAAAGAGACCCTGTCTCAAAAAGACCAAAAAAAAAAGAAGCTCCTGGATTTCCAGGAGGAGTCCTGAGTGGATGACCACTTTGCCATGGGTATTTTATAGAGCAAAATCACAATGTAGGTCAAACTATAATCAACCTATAGGATTACAAGTACAGTCACTTAGCTAATATTGATCCAATGGGGAAGAGAGTCGTGCAGTAAGGGCATATGAAAAGAATAAAGGCACTTTGGAGAAGGCACGAGTTCAGATGTTCTGTTCACCAGCCTATGTGTCTGAAGCCTAGCTGGGCCCACTGGACCAGGTGGTGCTAATTATGGTATGATCCCAAATTGTCACTTTATCTCCAGGGAGACTTACAGGCGAGGCTATGGCTTCTCCATTGTGAGACCTGGCTCTCCAGATTTGCCTCCAGTCACAATTTTTTAAAATCTTTTTGAGACAGGGTCTCGCTATGCAGTTCAGGCTGGCCTTGAGCTTACTTTATAGCCCACGCTGTTCTCGAACTTGCAACGATCCCCCTGCCTCAGCCACCTGAGTGCTGGGATTATAGGCATGTGCCACCAGTCACAATTCTGATGTCCTTATTTTTTTGTCCTGACTTCCTCAAGAGCCCAATCCCTCTCTTACTGCACGTTAATTCCTATCTCACTTGGCTGTCTGTAATAACTTCAATGTTACCATTCTTCTACTGCAATAATACTAAATAAGAAAAGTTGGATGCCCCGAATTAAAGAATGTTCTTAATGCTCCCAAACATTGGTGCATGCCTATAATCTCAGCTACTTGGGGGGCTGAAGTAGGAGGATTTAGGGTAGCCTAGGCAACACAGAAGAGTCCTGCACAAAGTAAAAAAAGGCTGCAAATGTAGCTCAATGATAGAGTACTCCTCAGTTCAATCCCCATACTGCAAAACTGAAAAACAAAACAAAAAATCTAGAAGAAAACAATCTAAATGTTCAACCATAGCATCATGTCTTCCTGAATATGATAGACTATTATGCAAATGTTTAGATGTTGTTTAGAGACTGGAAAATGTTGATAGTAAATTAAAAGAAAAATTGTAAAATCATATGTCACAAACACTCTCACACTGAAGCCTGGAGAATATAAATCTGTTAGCACTGACTTTGCTGCAGGAATATATAACATGTCTCCTACTCCTTCCAATAAAATTGTATTTTGCTCCTTCTCTTTCTCATCTCTCAACATCATAATTGTGATGGTGCACGCTAATGGATGGCCTTATTTTTTTTTTTTTTACTTTGTTTATGGCATCCCCCACCCGACTACGCGTGCAGGGGACTTCGTCTTGTGATCCCATGGGGATGCCTGGGAACCCTGTCTGTGTGACACAGGCATCATTAGCTTCTGCAGAAGGAATGATCTTAATAGGAAGTAATGTGGAAGACTGAAGAGTAAGGGAGGGCATTGATTTTACATGCAGTGGAATGGCTGTGTTTTGTAAAAGGGCACAGCAGAAAGATCAGAAGGAAACTCAATAGATATATGCAGTGTTCGTGTGAAATTACAGATGCTTTCCCCTTATTTCCCTTTTCTTTCCTTCTTTCTTTCTTTCTTTCTTTTTTTTTTTTTTTTTTTTTTTTTTTTGGTACTGGGGATCCAACTCACAGTCTCATGCTTACCAAGCAGGCATTTATGCCACAGAGCTAAATCCCCAGCCCTACCTATTCCTTTCCTGTATTTTCACATTTTTCTATAAGGATTTTTTAAGAGCAGTTGACAAAAACGAAAGCTGCCAAGCCAGATCCTGGTCCTCGCTCCTGCTCCTCCCAACAAGCAGTCTGAAGATGTCTCAGCACCGCAGCCCTCCATGAGCCTCCCTGGCCCGGCTCCCTCCCAACAATGGAGCTGATGTATCTGCTCAGGCTGCCTCTCAGATCAAAGGAAGTCAAGTTCTTGAAAGTACTTTGTCAGCAGCCCAGTTTTAGAAAGACTAAAAGCCCACGCACAGGACTAGCATTCAGAGGTCATAGTCCACCTGCCTGACACTAACTTTGGAGAGGAGATGGCAAGCGGGGTTCTGAAAGGTCAGCCTCTGGGCACAGGCTGGCACATGGCTCTGTGGTTGTCTTGCTTTTGTGACTAATTCTGAGCTTTCTCCTCCCTTCCCTTGACCCCTTGGTCTGTTCTCAGGGCGCAGTGTGGGAACCAAGGTCCCCGTGGGCTGATGAGTGATTTGGGGAGTTCAGAAGGCTGGCAGAGCTGGAGGATGGGTGATGAGACTTGATCCGCCCAGCAGGGCCAAGCGGGGACCCTGGACTCTGTGAGGACATCTCACTTGTTAGATCTCCTTGGGATTGCATCCCTACCCTCCCTGGCTGAATGGCCAACAGAAAGCTAATTCTGCTCCCCGTAGCAGCACCTCTAAGGGGCCAGTGGCAACAAGAAGCCCAGGAAATGCTCTGTAACCAAAGGAAGGAGAAGGCTGAGATGTACAATCATTCTTCCTCTCTTTAATCTTCAAAATCAAAAACTACATACTGAGTTTTGAGAGTCACACTTACATAGGTCACTGGACTACAGAACTAGAAGCTCATTTTGTCCATTCTGAAAATGAGGTTTCAGATGGCCAGAGACAGAAGTCAGCTGCGTAAAGTAATACTGATGTGGAACACATTGCAGAGTTTTAAAAAGCAGGCGCATGTGACTGCACTGGTTCTCATGACCTGAGGCAAGTAGCAATGACTAGCTTCACGTTTTTAGCTAATGAAACGGAGGCTCAGAGGTAAGCAGCCTGGGCACAGGCACAACTTAGCAAACAGCATGGTGTTGGTCCCTCCCTCCGTGCCCGCGAACACCTCTGGGCACCTCTCACAGCACCTAGTCCCAGCTCTCCTGGGGAGGCTCCTGGGCCTCTCCCTCACTCTTAAAAATGGTAAGAGCTGCCCTCTGAGATTATTAAAATCATGCAAATTCTTTTTCTCTTGGAGTTTTAATATGGAGTCTACTCTAGTGTACAAGTGACTTCAAACTCTGGGTCCTGCTTCAGCCTCCCAAGTAGCTGGGACCACAGGTGTGAACCACCACACCCGGATTCTTTGCTTTTTAAAAAAGGAAGCCACAGGAAAATATAAAGAAAAATACCTATTATTTCATCGGGAAGATACTATATTTTTCTCTATAAAAATACATGTATATACATTTTTTCCAGATAAATTTGGGTTAATCTATGAGTTCAAAAACTGAATCGATTATGTCCCCAAGTGATTGGCACTCAGTAACTATTTGTTTATGTATTCATATATACGTTTGTGTGTGTGTGTGTGTGTGTGTGTGTGCGCGCGCGCACGCGCGAATGCACACATACATGCTAGGGATCAAACTCAGAGCAAGTGCTATACTACTGAGTTACACCTACACACACCCTGTTAATATATTACAAACATTATTTTGTTTCCTGTTTTCTTCACTTAATGACATGTTAACTATTATTCTAAAATATGCCTTTAAAGTTACATTGCATTATGGTATAATATTTTAAATGTAACTTAGGCTCTAATACTTTGTGATTTTTTTTTTACTCATAAACAATTCAGTGTACTCAGGACATTTCAGTGTACTTATAAACAATTTAGTGATGAACATTCTTATACAAAAACCTTTATGCTCATTTCTAATTCATCCCTCTAGGGCAAACAGATTCCTAGGAGTCATTTTTTTGTTTGTTTTTGTACCGGGGATCAAACTTACAACCTCGTGCTTACCCAATAAATGCTTAATAGAAGATGATGAACTGCTTATAATTTGTGAGTGTTATGCCCAATTGCTAGAACATTAATGTGTTTTATAGTTCAATGGGAACAACCACTCACCACAGCCTTCATGAACAACTGTGGGCATTATCATTTTAAAAAGGATTTAGTATCTGCCCAATTAAAAATGAAAGCTATTTTACAACCTTGGTGTATTATTTTAAGGACTTTTTATACATAATGTCTCACGGTAGCATCCCTCTAAAGTAGGCATTAAATTAATGACTAATATTTATTGAGCATATTCTGTGTAAGAGGCATTGAGCTAATAGGTTTATAGGTGCTATTTCCACAATTTTGTGGGGTACATTATTCATTGTCCTTGCTCGATAGATTGAAAAAAATGAGTCTTGAAAAATTTATATCATTTGCCTGAAGTTGCTACCCCCGTTTTGCAGGCAGGGGAACTAACAGTCCAAGAACCGAGATAATTTGTCGGAGTCACACACTTCAGAGTGGGGCTTAAAACCCACGTGTCCAGGTCCCAGGGTCATCCCATCCTTGCTCTTCACTGGTCTGCTAGTGCCTAACTCACACTGTCTTCATCAATCACTGTTAAATCAAAGAGTGCATTGGAGTGCAGGTTACTAAACCTTCGTGGAAATCCCAGAGCTTCTGCTCTCTGGAGGTCAGTATCCCTTCCCTGTGCAGATGGACATCACATGGGTGCCCAGCAGGACAAAGGAGCAGTGCTAAACCACTGCCCCTGGGGGTCACTCGAGGAGCCCTAGCTGGCCAGTGGGAGCACTGGGGAAGATGGCACTGAGCTTCGACACGCAGCAAATCTAAAGCACAGATCTAAGACAGGGCTGCCCATGTCTGGCAGAGGCTGTGGTTTGCCCTGGATAGATGTGCTAGACAGGGCTGATTCATCTAGCTCGTTCTGCTCTGAAAATGACTCTGGGATGGGCACAGTCCCATC